GTTGAAACATACAGGGACTTTACAGGAGTAGTACAGTACTACTCATTATTCAGGCGCCTGCGATAGCTCAAGGGTTCTGCGGGCCTGAGCTGCAACGCGAACTGCAATACCGTATCAGTCTGAATGATTAGTAATTATATTCCCGTATAGCCCCCGGCTGCTACAACATTCGCCGAAAAACTGTTTTAATCAAAAAAGCCCCTTCCGCACCTTTTGGAACAGCTAGAGGTCTTGAAGCTTCAGCTCGGCCTGCCTCTAAGAATCCGACTGCAACAACAGAACTCAACGAAAGCAGCCAGTTTAGGAGTATGGTTTCAGGGTTTGGAGTTCAATGATGCCCAGCTGCTCCAAGAGCTCGCCAATGCGATAGTCCGAATCGACCTGGACAAGCTCGACTGTGCTTGCGTTCTAAGAGTACGGGTGCTGCTTTTCAGGAGGGCTAAGGAGCTTCCCACCACCTTGGTCTCCTCGACAAGACGTTTTGATCCCTCTGACGGAAGCCCTGCTGTCCCAAGCCCAAGAGGCCATGGCCCCGCAATCCCGAAGCCCAAAATTTTGTTGGGCCGGATGCGAGGTCGAGCTTGGAGTTCAACACAGAGGCGACCTGTCTTCAAGGCTGAAAAGCTCCGAAAACAGGTCAGCGTGGGCCTTAGGGATCTGCGAAAGTCCACAAAAAACATGGGGCTTCTTTCGAGGAGCTCAGATCGTCGACATGGAAAATCCAAGCAGCTCATCTGAAGGAGCTTGGGGTTGTAAATTTATTGAAACTCTTCGTTGGCCCCAGGGCCGCAGTTTGGGGGCCACTGGAGGACACCGACGCCTCTTCGTGAGGCTTGCTATCCAAGTAGGTGGACAAGTTGTTCGCGAACTCAGCTGCTTCCTGTCAGCGAGGGCTTCAACATCCACAGATCCAGCTGTTCGGAACAGAGTGTCGGGACTTTCAGATCCAAAATTAGGTTTGAGGGCTAGACCGCGGGGATTATAGGAACTTATGGGTAATTATGGGCAATATTGAAAAGCAACATTTGCCAGTTTTCGGATTTAGGCGAATTTGGGGGGATTTCTTTCTTCGGCCAGATCCGAAACGGCGGCAAAGATCTCAGGCCCCAAGATAAGCTGCCTCCATCCTAAACCCGATCCCTAAACCCCAAACCCCAAATTTCGAAACCCCCAAAACCTACGGCCTAAACCCTAAACCGTAAACCCGACACCCGAAGCAGTATACTTGTACCCTACCCACCCTAGACCCTTGACCCTACAAAGCCCCGAACAAAAATGTGAGCCTCGGAGGTGTAGAAGGGCCGATAGGCATTGTAGAACGGTCGCACCACCTCCTCCTGGAATACAAGGTTTTTGTTTAAGCTGAGCTGACTTTGCCCCTGTATTTAGTTAGAGCTTCGGGTTTAGGGCTTGGCCATGCGAACTGGAAGATGGATTTGGAATTGCTTTAAGTCGAAAGCCATGAGGTCGCTTGCGTGGTTGGGGACTCTAAGGGAGTTAGGTGCTGCTGCTCAGGATTTGCTGTTGCGGCTTTGGGGTTTAAGGGATTGTGAGATTCGTCTTTGGTGCTTGGGGCTTCTAGATATTCTAGGGTCGCAGCTCTGGGCTTAGGGATTTTGGGGCTTTGTAGGTTTCGTGTTGTGCTACGCAAAAGCCGCCTTGCAGCATCGGTGCATGTCCAGAACACCATTCTTTTCGATAAAGAGCTTTCGATCTCTCCACTGGCTCTCTAAGAACCCTTGTGAAAAGTCTTTTTCTCAAAACCCATTTAAAGCCTGCATTACGCCACAGGGCAGTTAAACGAACACCAATTCATATTACACCTTGAGACACCGAGAAAACGCTGTAGAACCACAATGTGAAGAACGGCGATACAACCCTCCAACTCCATGGCGTCGGTGTGCTTCGCAAGATCTTTGCTCTCGAGATGGCTACTCTCTAAAGGCTCTCGGATTGCTGCCGGTGTCTTTAAAAGGGCCGAAACAGGGCCCACGATTTTGCAGGACGTCTCAATTGGTTAGCAGGCTTTTCCTAGGGCTTGTATCACGACTTCCCGAACACCAGGAACTGCAACGTTCAAAGATCGGGGTCTTCCTGCGTCGCATTGTTGATCCCAAGGGTCAAGTTGATCTCCTCAGATTCTGGAGCGAGCTCAAGGGTCTAAGTTCAGGTTAATCTACGGTCTAGGGTTTAGGGATGTGTCCTTCAGGTCATCCTGCAAAACCCAAAAGCACGAGAGAGACCCTTGGAACAGGCCTTGAAGCGAGTACTGTCAGATAGGTGTTACATGAGGATGTCGGCGTGGCCGGGTGTTGGAAGTCTCTACAGGCGACCTGCTGAATTGGTGTAAAAACTTACTTCCGGGACCTGGGGTCAAGCAAAACCCTGAGATTTGACGAGTAACCCTCGAGGTAACACCCAACCGATAAGCTCGCAAATACTCCTAACGAACCCCCTACAAACTCACGAAACAAGACCCTGACACAAATCTTAGAACACCCTCTGTACATACATACGCATGTGTATGTGTATATATATATATATATATATATGTGTGTGTGTGTGTGTACCCAAAGAAACGATCCTCCAAAATCCCCACATGAAACCCAGCAAGGAAACCTCGGAAAAGGTGTTCATAAGGCAGGGCACGACATCGCTTTTCGTCATGTCCAGCAACTCTGCGAGCCCGTGCGCGAGGCCTACCAGACCGCGCCAACAAACACACATTTACATATGCGCGCACACACACACACACACTCGCAAATAAATACAAAAAACGAGGTGCTCGGGTTGCGTGGGGATGCAAAGTTAGGGTTGATAATTTTAGGGTTTAGCGTTTTGGGCGGTAGACTTTAGCGGTGTTCTGGACTTTAGGTGTGTTTGGGTGTTTGGAGATGGGGCTTCTGCAACGGCTCCGCCTCTGAGGGTTCTAGCTCTTCTTGCGGTTGAAAGTGCTGCTTGCTTCGATCGGTTCTGCACTGCCGAGTATCCCACAATTAGAAGGCCAATGTGGCTGAACCAGGTTTATGGCTCTAGGTTCGGGGACTTTTTGGGGTCAGGGCTTCAGGGTTCAGGGGTTTGGGGTTTAGCGTTGGAAAACGGGATGCCTGGCTGGGCTTGAGCTTCGGAAGTTGCAGGAGGAAAACGTCTGAGAAGCTGCATGCTCAAGCCGGATTCCTCCCAAGCCCATGTACCCGCTTTATCGGGATGCCTTCGACCGACAGCACGTCCTTCAAGAAGCCCTCGTTCCTGCGAAGCTATCGCCAGTGTGGGATCGAATGGCACGGGCTGAAGGATCGTGCTTTCAGTCAGGCCAACCAGTATTCCGGGACCCCTAAACTCAAAACCTGAAGGCCCTGAAGCACTGATGCCCTGAACCCTAAAGTCTAAACCCAAAACCTGAAACCGCATAGATCCACAAACCCAAGGCTTAAAGCTCGGAAAACCCAACCCGCACTGGGCCGCAGACAGCTCCGAGCGTCCCACTTGCAGGCGGCGGCCTGCGAGAATCCTCGGACAGAGCGTCTCAGCTCTCGTGGGCGAAAGAATCTTATTCAACACTTGTAAAGACCCTTATGGACCTGCCAGGCGGCGGTGTAAGGTCCAGGTAGCCACTGAACAGAACCGTGCCATTCCAGTAGGTGGTGGATGTGGTGGTGATGGAGGAGACCTTGACGTCTTAGGCTTTGGGGAGAAACTCTTTGGGTTTTCGTCTGGCCCTTCCAGAGCTCTGGCCCTTCTTATGTCTATGGAGCAGACGTCAAGGGCCTGAAAAGAACAACAACAACTTGGGCCCGCAGCCACAATCTCACACCCAGCTTGAGGATGCCACCGTTGTGGTTCCGGTCTTCGTGGTCGACGTTACTGTGCTGCTGATCTGGAGACAGGCGTGCATTAAGGGGAGCTTGCTGAAGAATCCTGCAAGTCGCCCAAGGGACCCAACCCTTGCCTACCTTCCAGCACCGCTTTGCAGGATCGCTACTTTCGGAGAGCCAAGAAACCAAAGCAGCTACAGTCTGAAGAGTGAAGCTCGTCGTTCCAGCCCTACGGTCGGTTGTGGGCGCCGTTCCGGGGTGCTACAGGACGATTTCCCTGCGAACCGCCGCATGCTCGGAGGATGTTGTGGTGCTTCATGGCTTCACTGCGCGTGAGCCAATGGTCCAGGATGGTCCAGGCAGGTGGGTTGAGGATGCGCGCTAATTACGGATGTCGACGCCCGCATTCATGAAGGCCTCCAAGCACTCTGGATAAGTGCCGTTCAGCCTGAGCTAGCGACGATTTAGGATAAGTTTGGGTTCGAGTTTCTGAAGAACAGGCAACAAACGTCTACACTGAGGGTGTAGGTGGGCCCATCCATCTCCTTGAAACCATGATCTTTACAAGGAAGGAATCATTGGGAATGAGGATTTCCTCATCAAAAAACGAATTCACCGTCGGGGGCAGGAATTATCAACAACTACCACATGGAGGCTCCCCAGCATCCAAGCCAAGAACCCCATCGCAGTCAGGGGACACTCCATCTGGCATGCAGGTCCATCTGCCTAAGTTCAACAGAAGCCAGTAACCTTTGCGAAACCATTCGTGGACGACGGCGTGTCAACGTAATGCCAGAAGCTCTGTGCCTGATCGGCCAGGGCATACCCAGCAATCGAGAGCTAAATGCTGTGCGAGAGAATAGCACTATGTCCCGCATATGCATTGAACAATGCCTCACAGGCAACTAAAGTGACTGAAGCCTTAAGCCTAAACCTCATTCAGCTCATCCACGCGAGGTCGTGCACCTTAAGACTTCAGAGGTTAGCTCATGGCCATCTAGCTTGATGAGGCTTTGGGACAGGATCTGGGTGTTGCTTTGACTCTACGAAGTCGTTGTCATCTAGGCTGCGAAGTAGTCAAGCACAATCTGCCCTCAGGCTCAACGACTGAGAGCCATGACTTCTCAGCTTCCAAACCTGGGATCCAGCCCTTTCGCGACGCCTGAACCCGAAACTCGCGAAACCCTAAACTGAACATAAACCCTGAAACCGAAAATTTGCTGGCCGAGCCTTGGCTCGCTTGGAGCATTTCTGTGCAGACAAAGTGCTGGAGCCTCCTTGCCAGCCCGCAGCGCAGGTGACGGTGCAGGTGCCATCCGTCCTAGGCTCCGGGCATCGACAGCATGTTCTTTCACCTCCTCGGAGTTCAGGAAGAGCAGGGCAAGGAGGAGGAACTGCAGCAGAAGTATGTCTGGACAACAGCACGGGGGCGGGAGGAAGAAGCTTAAGGCTTTGCGAAGCCTGCGTGTCTGCCAGAATTGGGCTGCAAGTGCAGTGATGACCGGATGCCACAATAGGTTCGGAGCTGAGGGTTGGTTCAGCAAAGTCACACCACACCACTGCCGCAGTCGTCAGCGTACTCTGCACCGAAAGGCAGGTTGTACAGGCAAGGCAAGGCAGAGCAAACCTGATTCGCGATGGTGGTAATTGTGATCACTACTGCTCATGGGCTGCATCCATGTCAGGCTGATGCTGTTTGCGATACCCTTGGCTGTCATGCTAAATAGGTTGTGTGCGTGGGTCTATGATGGCCATCATTATCAAGACACCCATGGCTTTGGGGGATTACATGCCTGCTGCGAAGATCGTGTATACGTACATATATGTGTATAGAGACAAGACAGAGAGAGAGTTAAAGCGAAAGAGAGAAGAGAGGGAGACAGAAAGACAGAAACAGAGAGAGAGTGAGAGAGACTCAGTCTCAAATTATATATATATATATATGTGTATTCTGAGGTGCAACATCAGGTCCCTTGGAATACACCGAGCACGTCCATGAGGTGCGAACTGAACCTACTGCAGGGCCGTGAAGGTCGTAATCATTGATTGGAGCAGGGTTCCTTTGGGCTGCGTTACGGGTTTGTAGGGGTCGAGGATTTCCGGCCTTCGTAACTAAAGTAGGATCTTGGGGGTAAACTTTGTCGCTGATCATAATGCGGAAAAAGCTTGCGAAATTCTGAAGCCCCTTTAGCACTCAGTGACAAGAGTTGAAGTGCACCAAACCTCAGGCAAGAAACAAGCTCAGGGCCCAGGCTAGAACCAGCACTACTTAGAGAAGTCGAGAAATGTAGACAGGTTGCAGGCACAACGCCGCGTAAAGTGTAGCCATCCTCAGCAGCATGCACTCCAGGATCCGCCGCACTCGCTTGCGAAGAACAAGAAAAATCGCCGACGCAGCGGACCTTCATTGAGCCCTGCCTGCAAGGGCTTTGCGTCGAACCTCCTGCTTTGTAAAAGACGAAAATGGCGTGGAAGCTCAACAGCCAAGGCACCACCATCGGATCATCGCTTACCGCAGGTAGGCCACTCGACTCATCTGCGCAGGTCCACTGCGGAACCTGCATCTTGGCGGTTCTCTGAATCCGGTCCCAGGCACTTTCGTGAAATATGGACCTTGGAAGGGAGCCTAGTTGTAAGATCAGGATCCTTGTTCCGCTCTTCCCTTGTGCCCCTGTAGCAAGCAAGCTGCTGGGAATGGTGAACGAGGGGCATGATTGAAACATCCTCACCCATGGGATTCCCGGGATTAGGGCCAAGTTCGTGCAATTCGGCAACTACAGCTGATTACCATAACAACGCAGAGATTGCAGATCCGAAGAGATGTCACATGCGATTGACATGCTTCGAAACTTCTGAACGAAAGGTTAAAAAGTCGTGAAGTGTTTGCAGCTGTCAGTGCATAACAAAGGTAAGGGTTGTTGTCCTAATAAAAGCTTTGGACATGCAGCAGCAGGCCGCGAAACTTGAGATGTCAGCCACTGCTCAAGGTGTGGCATGTCTGAAAAAGATCGGGCACAAATAAAGCGCCGATCCTTCTTTGTTCAATCTGAGAGCCGGCCATGTTTGGACTGTCTAGGCCGGGAGCCTCCGGCAGGCTGAGCTGGAAGCCATCCCGGCAGTAGGCAAAGCAGGACCAATTTACGAAGACCTGAGCACAGCTTGGGCAATCGGGTCTTGGCATCATAGGACTCTGCTGGACAGGGGCTGTCGGCGCTTGCTTGAGCTTCCCAGCAGGACAGTGCACACGTGGGAGTGACGGATGCTGGCAGCGCAATGCTAACAAAGCCCTGTCGCCAATCCGGGAATGCTTCCCATCCACTTCGGGGTTCAGGATTTCTGTGCAGGGCATTGTCCTTGAAACAAGGACATTCTGTCCATGCAGGCTCCGAGCGGCATCGCTGCAGGTGTGCACCACATTGGGAATCGAGATGCTGCTGTTGCACTGAACGGGCTCGCCTGTGGCGATCTTCAAAACCATCTCTCGGGCGCATGGGAGCTGAAGCCTTGAGAGCTTGTGCCTAAGTCTGGGTCCCTAAGCTCAAACACCCAAGCTTGATGCCAAATTCAAGGAAGATTTCCCTTGGGAACCTTCAAAAAACCTAAGAACCGTCAAGCTTACAGCCTGGGTTGTTCCCAATCGCTGCAGCGTTCCCCGCTGGGAGGCTTCTTATCAACTCAAGGGCCCCCGTGCAATGAGCTTATGGAGAACAGCACATGATGTTCGACGCAGACCCCCTTATAAACTGAGGATCCGAAAAACAAACCACTCCCCAACTCTGCGTTACAATAAGGATCCCAAAATGAAGACCCCCAGAGACAACTCACAAGATCAAACTCATCATGTCTCTGATCCTGCAATGAAACATCCACGCTTCGGGTGTTCCAGGATGTGGGGGCCGGGGTTGGGGGCCTGCGTGCTGAGGTTTTGTGCACTCCAATATTTAGGGTTGGGGGTTTAGGGTTTGGGATTTAGGGTTTAGGGTTCAGTTGTGCAAGTACATGCGTTAACTGCAGCTCGAATCGCAGGAGACCGTGGCCCCATCGCTGGTGACCTGACCTTCGCGGGAGAGGGAGACAGGTGGGGGATCCCTGCTAAACCTGCCAAGCCCTAAACCCTAAATCTCTGAACCCCAGTCCCTACACCTCTATGCCCAAGGAGGCCTCTAAAGCTCTTGCTTGTGGAGACTGTCGGGGGAACCTTTCCATCCCAAGAAAAGGGACCTTAACAATTAGCCTTGCAGCATAAGCACATGGGACTACAGCGGGATATGATTAGATGTCTCAAGTCTTAACTGAGCAGGGCCTCGCCTCAGCAGCTTCTAGTTTTGTTCTTTGAAAGGCGGAGACTTCTGATTCCAGCACCTGACTGCACTCTTCTTCACCGGAGTGGCGGCCCAGTCTCCTTCGGATCTAGGAAGGATACTGCTAATGATTCAGGCCCCTATACCAGAGATTGTGGATTCTGGCTTCCTGGAATCCCTGGCCGGTATGTCTGAACGTCTTGTTGAGGTTGGAATGCCGGTGAACCAGCGTGGTGAAGAACAGAGCAGCGGAAGTGGTAGAAAGCAACCCCGGTGGGAAGGAACCATAAAGCCCCCTGATGCCAACGGACCCTACAAGGCCTGAAAGGTCGCAGTTGAAGCTGGAGCTCGTGGCGTTGGCCTTGGCATAACTTCGAGGTTCGGCAGGGACCTTTGTCTTGGAGAGTCAATGCCAAACTGAAGTCTTTAGGTGTCGTCTTCGGGTTTGGGGGTTTAGGATATTGCTGAGGTCTTCGGATTTAGGCAGAGACGTCAAATTCCTTTAGGCCAAGGATCGTATGACTGCAGCTTTGCAGCACCAGACTCGCGATCCATAACCTATTCTTAGCTCAGGCACGTCACAAGTACACGCCTTTAGTTTCTGAAGCCTCTGCAAAAGCAGATGTTGCCCATTCGGCATCAGGATCTTTTTCTTGGTTTGGAGACATGCACCCATCCACCTCTTGCAGCGAAGTTACCGGCAAGAAGCCAGAGCGGCAACGGCGCTCGCAGGACCTTACATCACACACGGACAGGCTAGACGGAGGAGGCTTCAACTATTGAACAGGAAATTTGCAGCTGCACAGCTTCTTCAGGACAAGGCACGCAATAATCCCCGTTTCCAGGCTGAGAACCAACAGAAAGCCAACCACACCATAGCCCGACACTTGACTCTCAAGCCCAAGCCATACCACTAACCCCTACCGCAAACCCTGACCTCGCTGAACAGTCAAAACCGAGAAAATACATTTTTCCGATGACGAGCCCAGACGCTCAAGCCTTCCCTGTCTTGACAAAGCAGCAATTACGAGTTCGATTGGGGTTTCAATGATCAGGGTTCACAGGGGGTTTAGATACTTCGCGCGACAGTACAGTTACTTTTCCATCACCTACTTTGAACGGTGCATGGCAAAGAGTAAAGATTGCCGAGGTCGATGCACATGACATGAAGAGCATGCCGTTGAACTTCACTTCGAATACCGTCAAATCCGGTCACAACGCGTCGGGCCGAGCTTTCTGCCACGGCTTGCGTCTCGGTCAGTCAAAGCTTAAATGCAGAGACCCTAAACACGAAGCCCACATGCTGTCTGGTCCCAGGAGCTGTCCTGCGAGGAGCCCCGTGCAGTTGTCCTCCAGGACATCGCTGGGGTTCAGGCTCGGGCAAACGATCGGCTGGCCTGAGCGGACACCCGGAACCATGTAAAGCACCTCATAGGAGTCCGGGTAAAATCTACGAGAGCCCTGTAGAACCCTCTTGAGCACCAAGCCTACAAACACATGTTTGGTGTTTGAGATTCAAGGTGAATCAGCCCCTTTGGCCCCCGATGCCTTTAGAAAGTTCAAGATTCGCTTTGGCACCTTTCAAGGTCTCTCTCCCAAGCCTACTCGACAGACACCCTAAGCCCATAGAATCAGAAAACCGAAACGACAAACCCAGAGCCTGCAGTCTCTTCCGCGGAAAATGGAACATGAAGCGGGATTTCCAGGGGCCCCGGCAGCTTGGCAAGCTTCCGACGAGCCCAAGCACGCCAGCTTCGAGATCGCAGGACCAAACCTGAAGATGCCCAAGTTGGGGAGGAGAAAGAAAGGCAGTGCTGCTTCTTCGCCTGAGTTTCTGGATCTAGCTCCAATAACCTGCGTACCAGAGCTTCAATGGATTCAACTCTGTTCACCTAATTATACGCTTTACGTTTAAAGGGCTGTTTTGACCTGACCAAAACTCGAAAGGCTCAGGGAAGAGCGAGGAGAAGGCAGAACACTGCACCCCTGGACAGTGGCCTCTCCCGCTTCGCCGCTGGTCAGTTCGTACCTCAGCCATTGCAAGGCACGTGCCTTTCAGCGCCAATCTGTCAAGCACCCCACAGAACCTCGAAAATCCCAGCTCGGCAGCGTTGCACACCCTCCTCATGGTCAAAAGGCTGGGCTTCAAAGTTTGGATGCGCAATTCCTGACTTAGCCCTGAACCCTGAAGCCCTTAATCCTCAAGCCCCAAACAAGATGCCTCCGCCACGAAACGGGATGTCTCTGCCAGGAGCCGAGTTGCCCCGGTGCACAGTAGACACCGCAGCTGCGGCCGAAGGCAACGTCGTCGCAGTCGTGCGCGACTGAAGGCTCCTGGCCGGCTTCCCCGAGTCTGCAAATCGGTCCCTGTCTGGGGGTCCTTGGATCAAGGTTAAGGATCCTATGTACCTCGCCAAACGGGAGGCGCCACTCTCCGAAACGCGTGTGATGTACGAAAATCGGATGATCCACGGAGCGCACACCCCATCCAACGTGAGCCAGGAGCTTCCCTGCAGCTCTAGAAAGCCCAAACCCTGAACCCATAAAACTCAAGATCCCCAAAACCCCAAACCCTCGACCGTGGCAAAAGACCCCCTAGAATCGTTGTGAAGAGAGGGGGTCTATTTCTCAGGGGTCTACACTACAATTTATCAAAACCTCAACCGTATCCTGTAGATCCTTGCGGAACACTGAAACCGCTATGGAATCCCAAAGCCCTGATAGAACCCTAAAGCCCTTGTAGAACCCTAGCACCGTTCACCCTGAAACCCTACCGAACCATCGCCGAAGAGACTCAAACACGGAAAGCTCAAAAAATCAAAACCTCCTATCCCCGAACTCTGCACCGTCGAAAGAGACATGGATATCAACCGAAGTGGGCTCAGCTCGTGGCCTCCAGTCGGCTAATCACAGGGCACTTCGCGGGCTTGCAAAGCCTCTCTGAACCGGTGTTGCTTTAAGGGTTTCGGCTTTAGGGGTTCAGGGTTTAGGGTTTAGTTAGGGTCCAAGGCGCACGGACCTTTTTCGGGTTTCGGGCATGCTAGGCCCTGGGAGTCAATGTCATTGGGATCCAGGCTTCGGGATTCTAGGGGCTCCAAAAAAGAAATAAGTGCGAAGGCACCGCCACTTTTGGCAACGAAGACTACGTAACACTATCTCCATACATATGAGATCACGATACCATGATATACCGCAGTCCTATTCTAACTACGTTTGGGCCAGCCGATGATGCTTGAGTGCCGGGACAAAAAAGACATCATCTCAAACCTAAGGGGGAACGGTGTTGGAGCGGGACCACCCTGAGCGGTGAGACAACCGAAAAGATGCAGGGAGCCGGAGCCAATTTGGAAGTATTGCGCCGTGTCGCGGCAGCGTTCCAACTAGTTGGCCACTTTCGTCACCTGCAGCTGCACAAAGTCTAGTGTGAGCTTCTGCATCCACACCCAGAACCTTACACCCTAAACCAACCCGAGAACCCCAAATCTTAACACGCTTCTGCAATCAAATGCAATGAAACCTGTATACGACATCTCGGAGACCTGAATTCCGAGACTCTTCAAGTGTGGTGCAAGGCTGTCCTGTGACCATCTCACACTACCAGGTCTAGGGCTTTTCCCCGCAACGAGCCCAGCTGCAAGTCATGATTGCAAAGTTCGGCACACTGCCCGGCTTGCAGGTGACGTTGCCTGAGCTCCGAGATGTCAAATCTGGAATTGAAGATCGAGCTTACTAGGGTGTTTACGTACTGCTGCGATACAAAGGACTCCAGAATGCCCCACCCTCCAGACTTTGCCATGACTAGGAGCTTGAACTGGGGAGGTGGGGGGGGGCATGCGTTTTTGGATGCTTATGGGTATTGCTTGAAATTACTCAGACCCCTATGTTGCATGAAGGTTCAGGGCACCTGATCGCCCAGAGATTCCTTTCGGTAGATTGCTTTGGGAGGGGTTTGGTGACTCTTATCAAGGCAAGGCTGCTGCTTCATCTGGACCTTCTGCGAAAAAAACGACCTCCTTTTCAAACCGCAACGCGTAAACCCCTGAACCCCTGGCCCATGTCTTTTCTTCGGCCTGCTCACAGTGAAGGGTCCCCAGATACGCGCCAATTAAGGAATCGCTCCTAAGTTAAAGAGGGTTCAGTTGATATGACGGAAGGTATCTTGCCTAAGTTCGGCTCCTGCCAAACCCTGCAAACCTCTGCGAATCCTTTTCTGGTAAAGTCCCATGACCCTGAAGCCAACTTTGGCGAGTTTGCAGGCCAGGCCGGTCGTCATCCCGTCGCACTCCTTTCGAATCGCTTGGACTGTTTGGTTTGCTGCATCTGGGCGTAACAAAGAGAACGTCAAGGAACCCATAGAAGAATGAGCATCTGTATCAGACCAGAGAACTTTGAGGGTCCCCTTTTTGAAAATACAATCCTCACGGTCCTCGTTGTAAGGACCTCGAGTCCCGGAATGAGGGACCCCTAATATCTAACTTCACACTCCCCCATTTCACTTAGGATTGGACGAGCAAAGGCCTCCTGGGCAGTTCTTTTGAATCCCATGTTCAGCCCGGTGACTCGTCATGACCACGCTCAAGCAACATGCAGTATACCACACCTAAGCTTCATTGCAGTACTGCGGGCGATTCGATTTCGAAAGAGAGGCCCATGCACCCTACATTCACACCCAGGTCTGCTTAGGCCCCCAGGCCGTACCTACCCTTGTGCTTGGACTCAACAAGCTTCGGCTGTGTTTGTATCGGACAATGGGCGGAGTCATTGCAGAATGGTTGACTCATCCTCCGGGGCTGGGCCATTTGATCGGGCCGAGATATCCGAGGTAGAACACCCAAAACCCTTACTGGTGGTCCAAACTTGCTTGTGCCCCAAGGAAGAAGCATCCTAAACTAAGGGTGCTTGCTATATGAAATGCTGGGCTCCCCCATACAAGTCCCTTGTGACCAAACTCGGCTTCCACGTCACCTCGCCGGAAAATGCCTGGTCTGCAGGGATGCTGTTCTCACCTTCGCTGCGACGACCCGGCAAAGGTAAAGGTTCGTGGGCATTTGCTCAAGGATCTGGAGGCTTCGTAAGCCTAAGCAATGTACCCCTAATCTTAGGAAGCCCTCAGCGTTCCTCGACATCGCGCGATAGTTTACACCCGACAGGTCTTGACTGGGTTGTGGTAGGCATGTCCTTCTGAGCCAGCATTGACACTTTGTCCAAAGCCAAGGGACAGGGGTTCCCAACACAATCGGGGAGGACGCCGGTAATGTTTCCATCTGACTGGCACTCATACCTCAGCGCTCTGATGACTTCATGCCGTGCCAAAGCGAAACTGCAGCTACATGTCTGTGAAGCTGACGCACTGCAATCAGACTCAAATCTGAACCGCAACCCCTGGAACCCTAAAGCCCTAAAGACCATCAAAGTCCGGAAAACCCTGAACCCAGAGCTACCAGGATGCTGTGATCCCCATCCCACCAAAGTCCAGCCCTTCGCGCAGCTCACGCCGCAGGTGTCCTGGTAGGGTTCTGGGAAGGACTTGCCAGGAGCATCCGTGAGCCCACCAGCCCTTCAGTAAGGAAGATCCCATGAACTCAACAGGGAGCCTGACTGTGGTATCAAGCATGTTTCTGGATTAACCTAAGATCCGTTCTGCACTGTGCTGTTTGGGAAGCAACACTGCGGAGGATCTAGATCACCTTAAACTACTATGACCACATGCTTTGTAGGAGACGCGGTCCTGAAAGACCATGCCCTCGCAGTTGTGCGCGAACTTGCGGCCCTTGGCTGCGACTTCTCTGGGAGTGGAAGGGGTGGGAGAATGTGAAGTACGAGAGTCAAGCATCTCGAAATGTAATATATCGTGCTGTGGCATCTGAAATTAAACTAGATCACGCATACTATCCTGTCTTATCTCATACTACAATTGTACCATATCATACATTAGCATACTATACTAGACTAAACTAGACTAGACTATGCTGTTTAGCATCTAAACGCAGGGACGGAGCTAGACTCCAAGACTGCCCGGACATCTTAGGCCCCACCCAAAAAGCCTTTAAATCCAAAACACCCCAAATCCTAAACGCCGAAACCACGAGACCCCTTAGACCCTTGAACCCTAGACTCCAGACGTTAAACCCTTAACCCAGTAACCCTGAACTCCAAGAACGTGCAAGGGATCCAGGATCAGGTCTGTGCAGGAGATACGTTGGCAGGACGGCAGCGTTCCTGGCGGAAACATTGTCGCGAAGATATGAAAATATGCTGGGCAAATAACTCAATAAACAAGTTGATATATTGTTCATATGCATCATATGCATGTGAAGCATAACAGTACGTTGTATTCTGCTACGCTGCTACAGTATATCCATATTAACTCTTCATCAGACGATATACTTGTATCGTTTTCTAGACTTCGATTCATCGGAAAGTGAATGGACGGCTCAACAACACCTATGCTGCGCGGGCCCGGACCCCGGACTGTGCGATGCGCAGAACCACCACCATGCAATGCAACGGTTCGGGCACCCCTTCTCGTGGTTCTCTCAAACGTACGGTTTAAGGTGAACAAAGCCTGTCGGGTTTAGGGTTTTGAAGTTTTGGGTACGGGTGTGTAGGGATTTAAGGCTTAGGGTTGAATCCCCTCTCCTTGACGCTGCAAGACAACCGGAAACACCGACCGAGGAAGCTCCAAGAACGTGCCGTATAAAAGCCTTTTTGAGTTAGAACCCTTCTAAGAGCCCTGTAGAAACCTCGTAGGACCTTCAGAACCGAACCCCATAGAATCTCAAAGAATCCCGGACCTTGAAACTCTCCAGTGATTGCGCATTGGTACTGCTCGGCGCCACCGGAAGCATACTTGAAGCCCTGGGAGCAAGAAGAACGATTCGACGGTTGGCATGTAGACCCGTGATTGATAGACACTCCCGCTTCTAGGGCTTTCATATGAGCATCCCGATCATCATCCTTACCACAGGAGGATGAAGAAATGAATCAGGGGTCGACGTTGGAGATCTCTTCCAGCTTCCAGCTTAGGATTTAAGGTTGAAGGCGTCGGGGTCAAGGCTTACGGCTTAGGCCAGTCTTTGAGGTTTGTAGGTGCTAGATTAGGGAGTTTCTGTGGGAAGCCGAGTCGTGCGGGAATGTAGATCACAACACAACATTATTAGCAACCTCATCTTGGAAAACTTTGCAAAGCCCTACAAGCCCTGCAAAGCCCTGTACGCACGGGAGCGAGGGAGCCTCTTAACAAGTTTGAACCCAAACCCTGAACCCTATACCGAACCCTATACCACGTCACTCTTTAGATTGCTATTGGTGTCCTGATGTGTTTTGTTACTTGTGGCATTTTTGGTATCGTTCTCATTGGTACTACTGTTGCCGTTACCATTGCTATCATTATGCCTGCTGATTCTTCAGACATCTATATTCACAAGCCCTGGGCTGTGTAGCCGCCTCTTGGGTACACCCAGCGCTGCAGGAACTCCCAGTCCTCGGACGCTTCGAAGGCTCGACCCCCTTCGGAGTAGAAGCAGAAGTAGTAGTAGTAGTAGTAGTAGTAGTAGTAGTAGTAGTATAGTAGTAGTAGTAGTAGTAGTAGTAGTAGTAGTAGTAGTAGTGAAATCGGCGTGAAGAAACACAAACTTGCGCTCGAGGTGTAAACCTGTGCAACAAGTCAGAAGTGGCCGTTCTGGCTGAAGACAAGCCTCTGACCCGAATGAGCTGAACACTGAAACATTAAGAGAAAAAGATTGAAGATGTACTGCACCCGTAAGAAAACACTCGCCTGACTCTGCAAAAGCAAGCAGCACGTCCACTGAAACTTATCATAAGTGCCCTCCAGCGACGTGATATTGCTGCAGTTGTGCTCCAGCCCAACGGCATCAGGCAGGTTGTATGTGCAGGGAAGCGGACTGCACACAGGCAACGTACCTGGGGCCGCCCAGGGCATCCGAGTCGGGCTACTCGGTTCCCTTTGGGCTTCAGTTACGAATGGTGAACCCTGCACTACACCTCAGAATCACCAGTGCCTGGGCCTAGGCGTTCCACTTTCGAAACTGCCATTGCTAATATCGGGCTGTGGTTGCGGCGTCCTTCCTCGAGATTGCCATCCAAGTTGCCAGACAAGCTTCCCGAGTTGCAGCTCAAGACAGACGCAACTCCAACCAGTCCATAGCCTGACATTGACAAGATCGTTTTGGCTTTAAAGTCTCGGGTTCAGGCGCTAAGCCCGCAAGCTCAATCCTCACAAGGCAAGAACGAGTGGCTGAAAGTTTGACCCATGTTGTTTCAGGGGAACACGCATCCAAACATGTCCCAGAGCTTCGGAGATTGAGCTTTGTCCAGCCGCGGCAATGACAACAATTCCACAAACCTTCAAGGTAGCACAGCAGCCGGCCGCAAACCCTATACCCCTACAAACGCAAACGCCTAGTTCCCAAACCCTTGCACTACCCTACAACTTCTTAACCCGATAAACCCATACTGCATACTGCTTTGGCCCGCCAAGCACAGCCTGTTTTTGAGATCAACTGCGCCTTCATGCAGTCATAATACGTTGTAATGTACTCTACTATAGTATAGTATATTGCATTTTATTCTATTGTTTTTATCCTGTATTTTTAAATCAATATAGGATACTATATTATAATCTTTTCATGTAATAAGTAATATTATACTATCAGCGAGGCCTCGGCTGCAGTGAGCAATGCAGATGCCGCCATCAGCCACCCCGGAGCCACTCGTGCCTCGCTGCTTAGGCTTTGGGATTTCGGCTTTAGGACCTTGGGTTTGGGGTTTGGGGTTTCTGGCTTTGGGGTGGTTTGGGGTTTAGGGCTGAAGTCTAGCGTTTTCGGGCTTTCATGTTAGACAAACCTCCGAGGTCGGGCTCAGTTCCCTGCGATCTGTCCATAAACGGCCAACCTGGCCCGACTCAAAGCATAAACCTCTTCAGTCAAGGGCTTCGGGTTTGGGTCCAAACTAGCACAGGCCGTGAACCCTGGCCAGTGGAAGAGCCCTCCATCCATCGTAACGCGGGGTCACATCGAATCTACTGTCTGCCACCCCACACATGCCGAGAAACCCCAGACTTTCTTGTAAACCCAGCTGCAGTCATGAGCAAACTGGGGATCCGCCAGGCCAAAGGCGGCTGTTGCAGCTTCCTGGCAGCCTTGTATCCCGACGGAAGGGGGGTGATTGAAGGATGGAACCCAAGCAGAATTGAGGAGTTGGGGCTTCTGGCTTTTAGCTCCCCGCGGAGTATCGAAATATAGGGGGCCAAAATGGATGTCTTTCGCGATTACTACGAACTCCGTTCTTGGCGCCCAGGAGCCTCCCACGCCAAACAGACGCCGAACAGAAGAGGCGGTGCAGGTGACAACGATGTCCTGTTTGAAGGTGGCGCCGGCAATCTTCGCTTTCTAGAGTAACCAACTTTGAATGTTTGTGCTTGGATTGCCCTAAACCCCGGGCCCTAATCTCTAAACTCCAGACTTGAAGAGACTGCCCAGAGCTCGGCTCCTTTGGCACGAAAGTGAGTGTATTGGCATCACAGATGTAAGCAGCTGGGCTGCCCGTGTAGCCAGGCTCGCAGTAGACCCAGCCTGAAGACAAAAAAGGGTCCCACGTCTGTACTCTTGACAGGACGGGTCACTATGCTGCTATTCGGGGTTCTGCATTACACGCTCTTGTGCCAAACATCTGTGTGTTGGAGGCAGGACCTCACAAGGTCCTCGAAAGCATCAAGCTTTGGGGCTCGCAATGGTCGCGGCCAAGGAGCACTCGTCTCCCACTTTCCTGTCCTGTACGTTTGAGGGTTAAGAGCTCTGGGTCTAAAATTTGAGCCTTACGGTGTAGGCTGCATTATCTGGGGGTTAGTTTTTTATCTAGGGGTTTGCGCTTAGGGGTTTGGGGTGCAAGGGCTTTTTGTGGGAAGGGTTCAAAGTGACCGCATACAATCCCATTGCCGCTGAAAGCCCTGCTACCTTCTTCGAGGTTGCTGGAACCCATATGCCCCACTGCAACACCAGGTCTTGCCCTGACCCCAACCCCAAATCCCCTCCTGGTCTCTCAAAACTGGGTGTTGCTGGAAAACGGGAGAACGGAAACATACTATTTGGGGTCTTTGACAGGGTCCCCTACTCCCACACACTCGTCCTGACAGCTGCTCGCAGATCCGGTGGTTGGAGCGAGGTCTGGGCAGGAAGCCTCCACGACTTCGGAGATAGTGCCGTTGAAGCTGTGATCTGTCAAGCAGGTTAGCCTCAGATTCGTGGGGTATTGAATCTTCAATCTTGGGGGGCTGATGTTTGGAATTTTGGGGCTTGGGGCTTCCTCGTCTTGGTTGAAGCTCATTGGACACAAAGTGGGTGCCGTCCCTGGGTGGCCCGGCCTGGCTAACTGGTTCTTTCGAGCACCACGAGGTTGCATCAGCTGTAGAAGAGCACAGCTTTGGCTTGGGAGCATGACCGAAACCTCGACTTGAATCTACAATCTACATGTCAGGATCAGGCGCCACGGGTCTTCATGGGACTCTGACGCCCGATGAAAGTTTTGCGTCTGTCAGTCATGGCCCTCGACGCGACAAACTCCATTTTCTGTAAGCCCGCTTCAAAGTCCACACACCCATTGACCCCGTGCTTGACTCTCAAACCTTCAGGGCACGGAGCACGCTGTCAGTCATGGTGAATCCTGGGAGGGCCGTGACTGTGCAGTTCTCCAGGGTGGCCTTGCCACTGCAATCCTGGATGGGAGGCACCCGTGTCAAGCTTGTCAAAAAAAACTTGAAAGGCCATGGAAACGCATCTTGTGTGATACATACTTACTGTATGCACACATACTTACATACATGCCTGCATACCTACCTACATACATACATACCTACCTCCCTACCTACCTACCTACCTACCTACCTACCTACCTACCTACCTACCTACCTACCTACGTTACACACGTACATACATGCATGATTAAACAAAGGTACATGTAGCCTTCCATGTTTCAAGGTTAATGTGTTGTATATGTATGTGTATATATATATACACATAAATATACATACCCAATACATTACCATACAATACAGTATTACAAGGCAATCTCTTAAGATGCAATGCAGCACAGTAATTCAATGCAAAACCAAACTGAAATACCAATACCAAAACCAACACCAATACAATGCCACAGTGTTTCACAGCACAGCAAGCGATGGCACAGTACAGTATAGTACAGCACAGTGCAGCGCAAGACAATACAATACAACGCAATGCAATGCAGTGCAGTACAGTGCTATACAATCCTGTATGATTCAGTTTCATCCAATGCTTTGCTGCTGCATATCCAAGGCCTTGAACCGAACCTTGAGCCAGGAGCGTCCTTACAGCAAAAGCCGAGAGTCGTTGGAGGTGCCACGGACCCTGGGCATTCCGATGGTGCAGGGTTTTGCGGTGCAGACCTGCGTCACGATGGATGGAGGGCGTCGTTTAGGAATTAGAAAAGGCAACCCTGTCTCAATCAACATGGGCACAAAAAAACTACCTCTAAAGCAAACCCCAAACTGCACAACCTAAACAGGGCAAGCACAAACCAGCTCGAACCGAGGATCTGGTCCGCTGGAGTTTTCCGCAGGGGCTCTCCCCAAATATTCTGCAAATCCGGCGCTGCTGAGCGGGGTGTCGTCGCAGAGCATCACGGTCGCATTGCCTTCGATTTCCCAGCCTTGCTGTGTGGGCTGAGTTTGGCTTCGGAGTCTTGCTTGGGGAGGGGAGGCTTCTTTCAGGTTGGGGCGGGCCCCTCAAAGGCAACATCGCCCCAGCCTGGCTCGCAGAACGCCGTGCAGATGTCTCCGAACTCCTGGGAACTCTAACGGCAAACGGCAAAGGCCACGTGCTAAATGAACCGCAAACCAACCCTGAACCTAAACCCCAAAATTTCAGGCCCTGGCTATGGTGGTACGCTCCTTGTTGCCGCAGGAATCAGCAAAGTGGGGCTCCGAGAAAGGAGATATCGATGAGAGTGGGAAGCCTCCGGAAGAAAGCGTAAGGGCTGAACAGAATTTAAGCCATTTAGGCTCTAGGGGAAAGGTATAAGACTAGGGCTGAGGGTTTCGGATTCAAGACGGGGAAGCTTCGCGATGTGATGCGTTCAACAAGCGACGGTTTAGGACTCTAGGACAAGCTGGTAGGCCATCCTGCGGTAGTCACCATGCGGGCCGCGATACAAGACCCACCTGTCGCAACAGCAAACTGCTGATACGAGGAGGGTGTCTGAAGCCAACGCAAGATTCATACACAAACCTCTACCCTCTTCTCAAACTTGATTACTCGAGCTGGGGACACGGCACTGCTTTGGCCGGCACTCAAAGGCCCCGGTGGCGCTGAAGCTGCCATCGATTTCGCAATTCAGTGTCCTTTGGCTCCAAGCTTCGGATTGCGGGGTTCGTGCGTTGAGCGTGGATTGCTCCGATTCTCGGATGCCACTGCTGAGAATGACAGGAATAAGCGCGCCTGAAAGTCCCGAACCAGAAGGGCTACTGCCACGTCCGGCCGTAAACCAAACGTTATGACCCGTGCAAACCACCGATTCAACTTGCTGCTTTACACTTACATGTAAAGTCTGCGTGGGTTTGTTTATACACATATATCTATACACGCACACTACCGCAAGACGAAAGTTCGCCGCAATACAATACCTGCGGCTTAGAAGCGTGAGCCCTCACCCCCTTTCCCCCGAAAATTCCTCGCACAAGGTCCCACAAGGCCCCTTCTCTGGGAACTATAACGCAGCATACATTCGCTCAGCGAGATCAACTACTTTGCCACGCGCGCCACTTAAACCGGACCATACACACATATATTTCTAAATCTGTGAATTTTTTTATACATACACTACACACAAACAAAAAAGAAAGCGCTCCGAGCCAGAGGCTCCCCGAGCCGCTGCCCTCGAAGCCGCGAACGCAGCCCAGCTCGCAGCTGCTGGAGGTGGTGATCCCCACACAGGCCTTCTTTGGGGGCTGTGGGTTAGGGTTTAGGTTTGGACATCTGGGGGGGGCTTAGGGATGAGAGCGCAGGGTAGAAAAAGGCTTCAGGGTTTAAGGTGTTGTCTTGGGCTTGGGACTGAGGCTTGTCCCTCAGCAACAGGATGGGGAAAACGAATCTGGGCCTTCTGATTTGGTCCGGTTGCCTGAGAGCATCTGTTGCAGGTGCACGGGGCAACTATGTTCTGCTCTTCTGGGAGGGGAGATCGACTGCACTAGCGAGAAGTGGGAAGGTTCAGCGACGGGTCAAGTGAAGCTCTTTCCACCAGCTGTCTTCCGTTAAACGTTGAGGCACCAGGCCACGGGACTGCGGGCCATCACAAAAGCTTGGCTCAAAAGAGACTGGAAGCCTCTGCAGTGACGCCGACCCCGATGACGATGCCTTCTAAAGAGCCTTGGCTGCCAGAGTCTTTGTTTAAGCGGCTAAAGCAAAAAGCAAAACACAGCCGGGACTTCGACGGTCGGAACCAGAGCTCTGACCAGGAGTTCAATGTGCTTGCGTTTTCTGCAAAGACACCCCTGTGCAAGAAAAAGTCGACATGGAGCCTTCCAACATCCAATTTCAGTCCTGGCGCAGATCCGGGCACTGCAGTTGGGGAGATCGCCTAAGAGCACGCCGTCGTTGCACGCCAGTTGCTTTGGGAACCCCGTGTATCCGGGGGAGCATCTGCCAAAGCCTCGGCAAAAGGAGGCCACAGCGTCAAGGAACTCACGATAACCAACTGCCTCAATGATGTCTGTGTCTGGAATTGGGATCACTGCGGCAAGGCGTGGGGTCTCCATCGTATCTGAAAGCTTCTGCTAGACACCCGTACACTCCTACACACCGTACATTCTCACACCCTAAACCCTGAAGCCTAAACCCTAAAACCTAAAAGCCTAAACCCCAAAGCAAGACCTCAACCTCCCAGCGCCTCAAGCCTCGACATTCCCTTCCTCACCTCATCCGACCCTTGTCGAAACCGGATATCGAGCAAAGCCCAGTTCTGCCTGAAGTTCGTCAGACTCTATTGATTGACTTCTTTTCTTGTAGAGAAATTTCAACACTGAAGCCCTGAACCTTGCAGGTCCTGGTGCTTTGGAACACACTCAACCTAAACCCTCAAGCTTAACCAAGCCTGATGGATCCTGCGAGTCTTTTGGACTTCGACATGTGGCAGAGATCTCCATGGCGCGCCCCCGCGCAGTCGGTCTGGAAGGAAGGACTCGATGCCGGCGGCAGGCAAGCCTTCCGCACGCCTTGGGCTACCGGGTTGGAGCTGCTTGGGGCTTGGTTGTTTAGCATTACGGTTTTGGCTGAGGGCTTTGGAATTGGGGCTAGGGTTTCTTTGTTAGAGCTTACGGCAATGAGCTCAAGGACAATGTCGCGACACGAGATTGGTCAAGTGCTCTACGGTTGAGGACTGAAACAACCCTGACTAAACCCGACGAACTGATAAGAAACGGCAGCTTGGACACAGCTTCCAGCTGAGCCCTGGAAGACGCCATCCAGACCGCACCGAAAGGTGGAGCCTGAGTTTCGAGAGGCAGTTTAAGGCTTGAGTTTAGGGTGTTTTTGGGTTTGGGGTTTAGACTTTTGGGATTGGAAGCGACGACTCTGCTTGGAGGCCGAACCCTGTGAGTCTTTCTGGGATCCGGCTTCGGGGTTAAAGGGCTCAGGGCTTAATGTAGGGGCCTGAATAATTAGAATAAGGTTTTCGGGCCCTTTATACTATAATTCCAATAAGGAATCCCCAAAATAGTGTTGGCAATTATGTAGGCCCATACAATAGTCTTTCAGAGAGTTGAGCCAAGAAACTGCTCCCGTCGTAGCCGCGTTTGCATGCGACCTGGTGCCAGGCTTCCGACAAGCTGCGATCGGGGCCCAACTTCCGCCCTCAACTCATGTTCCGGGTCCCTTCGCAAAGACAGCCACCTGAGCAAGTGATCGACCCAAATCCGAACTCCCACGCTCAGATCCTCGAGCCTCACAGGACTCACCCGATAGAGTGCCGATGCAGCTGCTAACGTTGAAGCTCACATCCTGCACCCAACTGAAGGCATGAAGTCTAGAAACTGAAGCTCTTTCAAAAGCAGGCTGCGGGCACCACGCAATCAGCTCACTGGGTACTGTGTCACTCCACGGGACCTGGGAATAATTAAATATTTTGGTATGACCCCAACATACAGTCACCGACCCCTTATGTTCACGAACCAGCACATCATGTAGGGATTCAATGCCTTGGGCACAATATGGCTCAATGCAACAACGAAAATACCGTGCCCTTCCACGCATCAGGCGCTGAATCCGACCACTTCTAGCAGAGGCCGCTCTCCAACTACAATGACGTCCTCCGGAAGACCGGACGTGCCACAAGCTAACCGTTCACAGGTCGGCGGCGTTCCGGAGAACGAAAGATCCGCCTGGCCACGGCGATACGAAGCAACTTAAAGGCATCTGGGGCTGGAAATTGGTCTGTCCTGGACCATCTGAGTCTAGGATTAGAGTCTTGTGCGATCGAAACGTGTCACGAACTGCTGACCCCTTCCGGTGTTGAGGAGGATTAGTGTTTCAAACCGACGCAACGTGATCGACCTGACCTACCTGAGTTTTGCCCATGCGCGGCCTCGCAGGTGAGCACAGACTCCGCGAAGACGAATCCCACACGGCATCGCATGAAGCAGAGGCTGCCGACTTCCGTGTTCTCGCCTCGGCCAAAAGTGCCCTCCGCAAGAGCTGAGATTGCAACGAGCTGACAGCTTCTTCTCTTGTGCTATGAACCAAGCATGAAGCAAAAGGCCAGTAAAGTGAACCGGAAATTCAATGCCCTTTGTTGTCTGGTTCTGCAGGAGTCGTCTACAACGTCACGCCTGCACACGTAAAGCAGTATTCCGCGGTGGATCTACAAATCACAAGACTTCGGAGCCATTTAAGGCGGCCAAAGGCTCAACTGCTGGCGTCTACATCCGTAGAGGCCAGCGGCAGAGCGCTCAGCGAGCCTCGGTAATTCAGTTTTTCGATGATCTGGTTTTCGGAGCTTTGGTGTTTTAATCCAGGACCGTATACATCCTTGCGGCACTTTACAGCGCTGCTTGCTGGGGCTTCGAAGCATGGCGATCTTGGCTCGCTGCTTCCCTTGGCCCCACCCCACCACTGATCTTCGAGGCATGCCCTCAAGAAATCGTGGCCGTAGCTACTGCTGCAGCGTTGGATTGGGCTCTAGCTTTCGGGTGAAATTAGAATTTTGGCATATGCGGTGTAGCGTTTGAGGGTTGAGGCTTGCGCTGACGTGATATTACTCGGAGTCTTGACTGTTCGCTTTCTCCCAAGACAATGTGGGCCTTGAGTTCTTTGGAAATGACGAAGAAAACCTGACAGCAAAGTGCGACTTCATTCAGTCTCCGTAAATATACAGGATTCGGCTCGACTTTGATTCCTTTGTGGCGATGTTGTTTGGGCGTCGCGGATGGCATGAAACCCTGACGCCTGAAACCCAGGACCCAGACAACCCTCGAAGCCCTGAAGTCAAACTCTTCGGCTTGGGGCACCCAACAACTTCACGTGAACACCAGAAATGCGGAGTTCTGGCATTAAGAGCCGCTTCGCTGGCTGCATCTGAAGGGCAGGTGGGCAGTCGGCACACAAGCCCTGGCCCTTCGAAGAGTCCGGTCATGGCGTTGCCTTCGCAGCTTGACTCGGTGGAGGCCCAAAACCCCACTGCGACGCCCTCAACCCCAAAGGCGCGAAACCCCAGACCTGAAGCTGCAAAGCCCCAAACCCTAGAAACACGATGAGCCCTAAACGCAACATTTACAGTTTGCAGTCTGGTACTGTGCAAGGTTCCGAAGGGCACAGAACCCGCAATCGCCTGTTCTTGTAGCTCATGCTTCGAGCAACGAAAGCTGTAAGATCCGAGACCATAAATTTCCCCAATACCAGAAGCCCCAAACTTCCATAACCCTGAAGCTGTAGACAAGAAGCCCTACACCTCACTCAAGGCCAGCGGCACAAGTATTGGACCGGCCCTCCTTGAAATCGTGCGTCGCAGGTGGCGTTGCCTTTGAAATAAGGCACCCCAGAGACTCCAAAACCCCTTGACTAAGCACTGCACCTTACATGAAATTCGGAATTCCCGAAGAAACTCAAGTATAATGCCGAATGAAGGGCTTCGCTCCACAAACCTAGAACAATGCAAAGGATCAGTTCCGAAACTGCATGTGAAGCTCGCATCCCTCGACCCTGAACCTTAACTTCGCAACATACAGTTTCAAGATTCTCCTTTGCAATTTTGTTTACGGTTGGATGACCTTGCGGTGGACTTTAAAGTAAGCAAACAGGTTACGGCAGCGAGATTGCTATGCCGTGTGGCGGCTGAGCAACCAAGGCTCAGTAGGAAAGCACTTGTACTTTTGCGTGTTGTGCAGCCGGCAATGTCTTTTGGTTGTGAGTTTGTCCCTATCGACTTGCAGCCTGCTGCGTGACAAATACGCTGCTGCAGCCTTTGGGCCTACGAGTCATAGAAACCATGTCCTTATTCCTCTACTTGGCCTTGAAGTCCACTATGGACCATTCGTTTTTGTTTCCTTCTCCGTCGAATTAATACCTCGTGTAGGGTTTTGGCGCAAAACTCCAAGTCCACCTGCAGACAAACGGACACAATGATGTCAACGAGCTCGCCTGCGACGTCGGTACACGCAGTTGTTGACGCAGCGCTGTTTAGGTTGGGTTCCTCAGCCTGGGCTGCTGTGTTTAAGCAGCTCTGGCGAAAGTATCCATGTGTCTTCGTCTTCCAAACAATAGTTGAAAGCATCGGTTTGCAATGCATGGTGGCAAGTGATCGCAAGGAAACTGCCGGACCAGCCCGGCTATACTAGGGCCCCCCTGGTTCCTTACCGGTTTCTCTTTCCCTGAGGAATGCTGCTAAATGCAGTCATCTATTGTTGGGAGTTTCACTGTGGGTGCTGCTTCAGATGCAGCACTTCCTTTCTAATGAAAAGGCTCTGTGCAAGTACCGTGGTTAAGATGGGTATGCACACCGCCTGCGGTTTTGCCCCAAGTATGCAAGAGCTCGTGCGCATAGTCCGCTTGGTCTCAGACCATTGACGACGAGATTCTATTGCGAGGTTGATGGCCGAAGGCTCCTGCAAGAATGGATGCACGCAGGCCAAAAGAATCCGTGGAGCATCCTGCTGTCCAAGAGTGTTTGGATGATGGTGTGCATCGTTTTACCGATGGTTCAACCCAACATCATGCGTTTGCTCCGGTTAGTACCGCGACTGTTGTCCTTGCGGATCGCTGCTCGACGGGCGACGCAATTGTTGAAACAGGCATGCTTCCAGGACGACAAAACAACTTCAGAGCTGCTTGTACTCCGATAACGTTTCGGTTGTTGTGGGCTTTAGGACTTTGCTGGCTACAGGGAATGTTTGGCAAAAGTTTGCTCCAAAAAGGACTGGCTGGCGAATGAATACAGCACGTTAAATCGCATAGAAGCCCAAGCCTGGCGTGAAAGTGTCGCTGAGTGTTGGCAGCGATGCCACAATGATGCTGTTGATGAGGTAGCAAAATCTGTGTATCGTGAGCTGTCACAGAAACCAACGTTCTTCCAAAAGCCCGACAGGCTTATGCTGAATATGTACACGCTGCAAACCTTGCTCTTTCACTGCAAGAAAGTATTGTTCGGGGGACCTCTCGATCGCATGATCAAACACAGGGTCTTGAACCAATTACTTGTGCAGTAGATCTTGCTGTGTCCTCGAATGCATCGATTCAACACGGTTTAGTTGTAGCTTTTGCTTTCCAGCCGCAAAACTTTGGGGGATGCTTTCCTAGGACCTCGTTTCTTGTGGGAAGTTCAAGCCTGGATGAAACGAGGCACTTGGGTGGAGTCTTCTGAATGGGTGTAACGTCCACAGGATGGCTGGCCCTAGTCAATTACAGACGGGCTCAGCACCGCAAGTGTTCATCTGCGAAGCTGATTACCCTTCTCTGGCCTTGAGCGAGCCAAAGCTTGGTAAACAAGCTACTGTTTTCTTGCACGCGCTCAAAGACGCATGTAAGCGGCTTGATATTGAAATTAAAATCAACCGACATCAGACTCTACAACTTTTCGCACGTACAGCGCCAGTGGTCAACGTGCATTTTGCCGAGGGCTTTCCGGCAACCGGCACATGAACCATTTCATAGGGTTTTATTGATTACTTTGCCATCACTCGGGCTATGATTTGTGCGCCAGTACAGGCACTGCGTTGCCCTGTTCAATTGCGTAGTCCTGTTGCGGTCTGTAGTTGTTATACAAAGTTGACAAGAGCAGTGTGCAAACGGCGCGATGCTTAAAATTGCAATTAACGTTGTATGTCGTCTTGTTGAGCATATTAAAGCGTGTTGGCATGCTTCTCGCGTGGATGGCCGCAAACGTCCTGCAAAAAAACAAAGATCCTAAACCCTAAAACCCAAAACTCTAAACCTCAACCCCTGTACTCGGCACAGAACAGGCACAAGTCTGTCCGTTCGCCAGACCGGAGCAATCGGACACCACGACGCCACGGCCGGAAGGCAAACCACCTTTCGGTTTCTTTGGGTTGGGCATAGGGCTTTTGGGGGCTGTTACATTGCTTTTGGCAGCAGTTTCAGTAAGCTGTACATGGATTCTGACACGAGAACATGGGTTTGCTCAGGATCCAGATTCAATCCTCCCTGCTTTTTTGACCTTCTCTCACAAGTTCTTCGGGCTGTGGACCGTCACTCCTGAACAGCACAGGGTAGCTCCACATAGGTCAATGCGCCGGTCACCCCGAAGGGGCGGCCGAGCAAGAACTTACAATAAGAGACTACGTTTTACGCACGCTTGAGCTCAGTTAGAACCAAAGTTACGTGGTAACCGGAGTCCCAGTCACATCTACTCTGACTCTAGTGGTCGATCCTGAGTCCTGCATTTGTGCGTGAGGAGTCTTGGTAAGTGTCTTTCGATAGGTCGCGTGACACTTACTTGTACAAGTTAACCTTCAGTCCGCGGATCCTTGCTGAGTTGTTTGATGTTTGTGCGGCCTTGTCAGTCGACCCCTCTCCAATCCTAGCACTATAAGGGGCTTCAAATTAGTTGGAACAAGGTTTTGCGGGGTGTATTGCAGTATGGCTATATAGCTAAACCCGAAAGTCCCTAGAAACAAGGCACCTGAGCAGTACACCAGCTCGGTGACGGTTGAAGTGGCAGTGCTCGTCATGGTCGTGGTACCTGGGTCTGCTCTCGGAGGTCAGGGCGGTTTGCCTCTAAACATGTTGACCTAAAACCCGGCTAAAACTCACATAGTGAAGCCCATAGACTTTCACAGTGATGCGACAGGGGTTAAGCTGTAAAGAAACTCATACATCTGGAAACGCCTCTCCACATGCCAACCCTTGTTGCAATCCGTTTCCGTGTAGGACTCTGTTATCGATACCCTTATGGAAACCCATGCAGGAATCCCTTTGCAGTACGGCCGGTGAGGCGCTGCAGGTCGGCAAGTCTCCCGTGAAGGATTCGTCCACTCCACCTCTGCACGGTTTAGGCTTTCGGGTATTCAGGTTTAAGGTTCAGGGCTGAGGGTTCAGGGCTTGCGAGTTTGCGTGCTTTAAGGGTTTATGGTTTAGAGTTGAGGGCTCAAGCGCTGGAGCCCAACTTAGTGCTGGTGTCTCGACTCGGTCGAGCTGAAGACCACAACACTGCGCTTGAGTGTATTGATCAACTCCCGAAGCCCAAAAACCGGAAACCCAAACCCTGAAAGAGTAAACTCCCCGAGCCCTACGAAACCCTGAGCCCAGAATGCCTAGCTTGGCTCCAGAATCCATGAGAAGCCACGGGGCAGGTGAGCGTTGAAACCGGACCCTCGAAGTCCTCCGAGCACACCACCTCACACCTGACTTACTTTGGAACATTCGGGGCTTCGGGTGTAATGTATTTTAGGGTTGAGTTCAGGGCTTTAAGCTTTGCGGTTTGACGGTTTGGGGTTCGGGTTTTGGTGCACGGGCTTTACACAAGCTTTACAGGGGTTGAGGCTTTTCGGTTCAGGGTGCTTGTGCTTGTCCCCGCAAGTGTTGATGTTGATGCGAGGCTTTCGTGAGGTTGCCTGCTGGGTTGCCGTGATGATGTTGTCGTAAGGTTACATGTGGGATCGTGAGGTTGCTTCTTATCTCTTCATCAAATTTGAGAACTTAAGAACACTTGCAGTGCAGGGCCACCGGGAGTCGACACGCATCGTAAATGATGTAACACATGTGGTGAAGTGATAATTCGTCTTTGAAATTGACAACACTGCCGGTGAACGAGATCCGGTGTAGATTCCAATATGTTGGCCCCGGCATGTCTGCTTCCTCCGGTAAGCGCGATCCGTTGTACATTCCAATACCTGGGCTTCGTGTTGGGTCTCGAATGACAAGCCTCCCAGTGGATGCGGAGGTTCCTGGGGCTGCGCGTGTGGTGCCGCCTTGATTTCCACCTCGAAATGGCTGCCAAATGTCTGAATACCTTTAGTACTTGGGGGAAGCATTTCAGGAATCCCCGCAATACATGGCAGGGAAGCAGATTCGCTGTGCTCCTCAATCCCGCCAGAACATGCGGGGAGCACTGTGGTCGTATCTCTGAATCCGCCAAAACATGTCGGCCGTCTTATGAATCCCGCCAGTACATGCGGGGATGCATCGTGGTCACGCTTGTGAACCGAGTACATGGGGGGGATGGATGCATGGAGGAATGGATGCACGGATGGATGGATACATTCAGGAGATGACGTTCTTTCTTACCCCCTGCTCCAAGAGCTTTCGGGACACTCGTCTCTAGCCTTTGAGTTCAAGGTGCTTGGGTTTTCGGGTTTCGGCTTACATTTTCAGTGATACTCTTCTCTCTGTCCCAGCAGACCAAACACCTTAAATCAGTCACTGAGGCACGTCTCGCCGACAGTCTTTCCTCGGCTTGCCGGAACTGCTGGAACACCGAGCCAAGCACTGTTTGTACAGTAGACCAAGCAACGAAGGAACCCAGCCCGCAAAAACGCTTGCAACAAGTAACAATACGTTCAACAACAGAAAATACCCCAAAAAGCGGGAAAAAAAATTTACCAGCACTAGTACTAAAGGACAGCGATTGCTTCACAATGCTGCCCCCGCTCGTTCTGATGCAAATAGTGTGGCTGGCCTCCTTTAGCCGGACTGACCTAGTCTGTTTTAATGCTCTCTGGGGGCCAGGAGGGGGGACCATGTTGTCCTTTTGCGAACCTAGCTTTTGCTTATGGAAGGGGGGGCATGCAAGGAACTGGTTGTCATGCTAGCCGAGCAGAGGCACTGGCAGTAGCAGTAGTCGTCGCCGTAGTCCAGCATAGAAGGAGAAACCATCAACCCATGGGCATAAAAAACGAACATTGGGGCAATGGAAGGGAGACATGGAGGTGGATGGAGACGTTGGCAGTGGAGAGAAACAAACTGAGCATAAAAACTAACACCCAGTCAAATGCTACAGTATTCCTATCCGCGACCACGGCTCCAAGGCAGTCCATCACGTCCACCGACGGCTCTGCAATCGGAAGCCTGCTCGGCAGCCCCAACTCGCAGGCCCAACAAAACGGAATCTGCGAATCCATGGTGGATTTTGCGGGCAGCAGGTCTTTTCAGCCTTCTCTCTCCTCTCAGCTCTCGGTGTTCATCATTTTGGGTGTTTCAGCTTCAACTTATCTTAGTCGACTCGCTCTTCTTCTGCATCCCGGCGACGGACACTGACCGGGGAGAACCGTGAAGGTCTGCGTGGTCGTGGTCCCTGTCGTGGTGACCTAAGTGCGGGAGCTATTTGCCGTGGTCCATACATGCGAATCTGCACCGAAACACACTGCTAAAGCTTCCGGAGCAATCCAACGACCTTAGTCGACGTCGGCCCATTAGAAGATCGAAATTTAGGCGGTCTTTTCTCAGTCTCTTGACATGAAAGCATGCATCAGCTCTGAGCTCTGGGACGCCAGGGCGAGGGCGGGAAAGGCTGAGAGACGTGAAAAAAGGCTCTTGCCGTCGTGGTTGTGGTCATCGTGGTTGTGGACGTAGTGGTTGTGGAGGAGATAAACTGCGGAAGGACGAACATCTGGGTCACCTTGCGCTCAGGGACTGAGCATGGCAATGCCTTCACCTCCTCTCAAGACATTGGACATCTTGCCGCCAGCGTCAAGGAACTTTTTCACAGAAAGAAGAGCAAAGCGTGGAGGGAGGTCGGTAGGGAACGTGACTGAGTCAGACCATGCATCAGTTCATCCCCCGTGTCTGCCTCGGGGTTCGCAGGCGTGTCGATGCATCTGCCGCTGCCGAAGACTGGTCGCCACGTGCCTCGACTTTTGCACGGAGTTTCACTGGTCTTAGGATTTTAGAGTTTGGGTGTGTTCAGGGTTTAGGGTCTAAGGCTTCAGCCTGCACGGGCACAATACCCTTCTGGCTGCAGAGCATATGAAAGCAAGACTTCTGCTGGCATGTAAAAAGGCAAAGAAGCTGAGAGTTGAGGCTTCCTGGCCCACAGCCACTCCTCCGAAGAACGCATCGAACCCAAGAGAAAGTCACGATGATGCACGCTAAGTCGCCAACTTCACGGCACCCTCTGAGCTTGACTCACTAACAACCATGAAGGATAGGCCGCTTCTAAATCCTACACCCAGAAACCTCACACTGAACCCTAAACCCCGAAACCATGAGCTCTAGGATGTCATCATCGTTCGACCCGCGGGCTGGCACCCTTGCGAAGGCCTAAACCCCAAACACCCGGGCCCCTAAAAGCCTGCAGCCCATGCCAGCCCTGACCGAACGTTAAAGAACTACGACACACCGGCTCGGAAAGAGAACCCCAACTCGGAAGGGAAACGGCTCGGCTTGCCGGACCTTCAGGAACTCCAAAGCTGGCTTCTCTCTCTGTCTCTCTCTCGCTCTTTTTTGCGCCTTTTTCAAAGGCCTAGGTTTGTTTAGATGTTACGGTCCTTATAGTATTCTGTCACGGGGTGCAGCTTCTCCGAGAGGCACTTGCTAAGAAGCCATCATCATATAGGGAAGCTTGTTGGTAACTCCAATCCTTGTTCTAGTATCTTAGGGTGGTCGACCCAGAAAGCCGAGCTGCAGTTTGCTGCCGCATCGCAAGCGCCGGGGTCCTCCTGGGCACGTCTCTGTTTTTATATTCTGCACCCCCTGCAGACTTCGGGTCTGGGGCGCCCTTCAGGGCTTGCGTGTTACTGAGAGAAGGGAGGGGGCCGTTGGGCGCTTTGTCCTCTTGGCGGCTGTTTGCTTTGCTTGGGGAGTCTCGTTGAACCCTCGAAAACCCGAGGCCCCGGAGAGATGCTCCAGAACTCCAAAATTCCCTTGATGTAGCCTTGACACTCAGTGGAGAGGGGGGATTGCAACTTTGACTGTCGCTGCCTTGCTTGTGGCAGCCCCGCCAATAAAAGAGGCAGTCAAGCTGCCAGGATCTGGGCGCAGCTGGAGATGTTGCCTCAATGTTTGGGTCACAGCTCTGGAGCTGGAGGCTTCAGCGTCGCCTCCGGTTTTGGAGGTGTACGAAACTGTAACCACGTAGGGAATACATGGGGTTGAATTTTGAGCATGCTGAACAATGCTTGGATATTGTTGGGTTATTACTGTATTTTCGACCATAACATGTCTGTGTACAGCTCCACGAACCAAACTGCCGAAAGTCTACGGGTGATTCGTGTTCCAAGGTGCCAGGTTGAATGTTTGCTTTTGCGATGCAATCACCTAGCAGGGCTTAGGGTCTAAGGTTTAGGGCTCACTACCTTGATTGAACTCCTGGCCTCTCCTGTTTGGCAATGAAACTCCATGCCCCCATGGTTCTCCTTGCTGCAAGGAGGCCGTCCAAAACGGTGAAATCTTCCGGTGTGTAAACCTCACTGGCTCAAGCTGCTTGGGGATACCGGCAGTAATCAATCGGGGATTCCAGAAACCATCGCCGCAGGAATATTCCTAAAATAAGTCGGGCTTCTGATTCTGATTACTATGATTGAAGCAGTACGCTAAATCATTGGTCTTGGTCTTGGTGTTTGGCGTATTTACGATAAAGATGATACGGCATAACGAACTTGCCGGAATGCGATCAGAATGAGAATGCTGTGATGTCTATAGATAGGTCCTTGATAACTGAGAGTCCCATGTCGAACCTGATGGGTCCTTGACTTCACTTCAAGGAGTGCCCTAGACATGTGACGCAAGCATGGGCAAGCACTATCCGGCTCCCATAAACTTGTGCCCTTCCGTATTTAGGTTGCTAGGGACTATCATTTAGGGTCGGGCTCTTTGGCTAAGGATTTCAGTCCACTGCTTGGGACCGAACTCGAAACTGAATATCCCTTCTTTCAAAGCAGACCCCGAAGACCCGAAGATCCCGAAGACTGAGGCCACGCAACGGAGCATTCGCGGAGGTCGACTGGATGCGCTTTGGAGAGTACTCCCCAAGTTCGCGAGCCAACTCTCGTCTTGCTCTTGGGAACCTGGCGTGTCCAGGAAAGGAAAACCAAAGTGACGCAATCGACGACCCAAGCTTCCTGTGGAGTTCACGGGCTTAAAGCTTGGGGTTTCGCATATTGCGCTAAGAGTTCATGTAGCTTTGTCAGCATGCGCTCTATGCTGAAGAGCACTACCGGGAACCGAACTCGCACTGATCTCTCTCTGGCGGTCCGAGAGAAAACTGGCACAACGGGCATAGTCGAAGCTCAGATCGCCGTTCTGCGACAGCAGCCAGGCCTCCACAAGATTTCAGTGAAGAGGTCAGGGGTTCTGGCTTTCGTCTTCAGTGTTTTTTCTATAGGACCCTTTGCTACGAGGGCCATGGGAGGTTCCAAACGGTTCCAAACAGCTCAGAGGAGTTTGCTGAGAACTCGAGCCAGTCCGGCACCTGTAGACTTTCTTCATCACTTGTAGGGGTTCTATAAGGTTGCTACCAGGGATCTCAAAGGTTCTACGGGGGCTCTAGGCTTTAGGCTTTGGGGTTGTAGGTCCTGGACCCTGAGTACAGCAGCTTCAATGGGGCGCTCTATATGGCTTCATGGTTCGGGTATTTGACATGCACTGGATTCCTGCCCAACTTTTGAATCCAGCCAGCGAACATGCAAACGACAACGCAGGCATCACATGAGGTAGTGTTGTTATTATATGCTTGCGACGCTGAGGAGCTACAGTGATCCATATCCGAAGATTCAAAGATAAACCTTCAGACTGACATGAACAAATCAATCCCCCAAACACATTGTGGCTCCCCTTCGCTTCCCCCATGGCCCGGCCATGTACCCATCAGCAGTTGGGCCATGCACGAAATCACAATCCTCGTAGCTGCCCAGCTGGCCTTGTTGCGACGTACGATACTCGGGTACCAACGGGTACTATGATGGGGCCTGAATAAATCGATTAGGGCCTTGAGGTACAGTATGATACAAAAATTAGGAACTGGTACTCAACAGGATATCACCTTAGTCTCGAGAAGGATCTGAATCGTGGCATGAGGTCATGGTTGTCAGCTTCCTGTCTGGGCGAAACGAGCCGGGGAGCTTAGCACGGTATCCCGGGCAGCGCAGTGTTGCTGAAAGAGGCTCGTGTAGTACACGGTCTCCTTGGCAGCTTGCGGTTTTCGAAGCATCACAAACTTGTCATGGCGTTCTCACAGTTCAACAGGCTCAGGCCCGCGTCATGTGCTTACGTGAGACCTGGCTCTGGTGTCACGGCTTCAGCCCAGGGAGTCCAAGCTCACGGCCAAACAAACTGGGTTCCCCGGTCTTCCCTGAATAGGAAGGGTACCCAAGGGCCCTACTCTTCCGTCTTGACAGAGCCCAAAGTTATCCGACCTAGCAGAAGCCCTTTCATCCCACGAACCTCAACAAAGGTTAAGTCCGAGGTCGAAGGTGTCGTGGTGATGCAACAGCTGGATGCCATAGAAGGCTTCTGCCTCCGAAAGTTCCTTTGATGAGGCTCCACGGAAGTTCCATACTCTAGGGATTTGGCTGCACAGTGTTTACGGCTCTAGGGCTTAGGACTGCTAGTGTGGACGTAGGATCTTCCTGATCGATGGTGCACCCACTGGACCTGCTGATACTGGCACCTAGGGCTAGAAGCGGGCTAAGGCCTGAATGAGTGCGCTCCGGCAGTCTCTTCAGTGTCGCGAGCTGTTGTAGCTTCTTGTACTTGCGTGACAGGTCGATCAAACCTCTTCAGCCGTGAGCACCAAACATTCAAGTGCAGGTGTAGTGGGTAATTGGGTGGGAGAGTGGGCGAGTCGTCGGGGATGTGTGTAATGCCCATTGTGGTTATTATGTGTATTCTGTCCATTATGTCTACTAGTCATGTTTACTTGCCAATAATGTTTCTGCTTAATGCGTATGATGCTGATAATGTTTCTCATGTATATTATGCCTACTATGTCAATTATGTATGTACGTATATATGCAGTATTCAGTTCGTTTAGTATGCCTATCTACACGTCTTTCGATGTATCCACACATATATATATATATATACATACATATATATATATATATATATATTACATATGTATAAATGTGTGATAAGAACTTCATTCTTATCCCCCATGCGACTGCACTGTTCTGCAAAGGAAAGGTACGAATCGAACCAGCCGAACACACATTGAGACAGGAATCGCAGCGCCGGAGACAACAAGTTAAACACAAAACATAATAAGACTGATATTAGGCTTTGAGGGTTCCTATAACAGCAAAGACACGGAGAGGCAGCTGGGGAATTGGCCGCAATACCAGGAGTCTGCATTGACGTAGGGCAGCACCGGGTGGCCTTCAGGTCGATTGCGCTTCTGCTTGCAATCTATAGCCTACACTCAAGACTCTGAAAAAACCACCAGCTCTCTGACAGTTCCCAACATCCTCAACCCCACCTCTGGCAACTCTGACTGGGGTATGCAAACCAAGGTGTGAAGGAAGGCTCCGGCAATGTTGGCCAATGAGGTTGAACAGCCCTGCGGCACTTTCGAAGACAAGCGAAGCTGTGTTAATCTGCTCAACAGACCTAGCAACAACAGCAACTAAGGGCTCTTCTGCTGAGTCTTCCCAAGGCTTTATCAGGCTCATCCCGTCCTGCCTGCACCATTCACCAGGATACTCGTCGGGCTTGAAACGATGTTGTCAGTGTTTGTCAGCACGAGGTACCTGATCTTAACATTCTCAGCAACGCTCGACGTGTCAGATGTAGCCAATACCGACTGGGGTCGTACTGCGCTGTGGCAGACCCCTGTGCGTACACATGGAAGAGCATCAGACAGTCGTTCGGATTTGAGCGTTGCAAGAACTTAAGACGCATAGCACTTCGACTATCGAGAAGAAGTTGTTTTTGGCATTAGCCGGATCTCCTAGTTTCCTGGAAAGCCACGGAATACGTTTAGACCGAATATCAAAGCGAGGCCTGGTGGTGACCTGCGAAGCCAGTTCGCAGTATAGCTCCACCTCGGTTAGAAGACCCTGAACCCAGAGAGCCTAATACTCGTCAAGCATGAAACATACCTTGAACTGCAAATGGATTCTGAATATGTTGGGGATATGTTATTTAGTCAAGGAGTATTGGCCTCTCCCAGAAATCCCAACGCTAACTGGCTTCAAACTTCGATTGGAGCTTGAGTTCCCGGACGTGACCACACCAAGGGAAGAAGATTGGGCTGAAGATGTTTTCGGGGCTGTATTTAATGGATTCTGCAATTACACCACCGAAAAAACCCCCAACAATTGAAACCAAACCTGAGCAATACCCTTTTGATTTCGCGCCGGTGCCATCTCCCTTCCAATGCAGCACTGAGCAAGGCCGATCTTGAGGAGGGCTTGTTGGAGACATGGGGGGCCCAGGGGGTGCAGCGTGGTGTGGAGTCCCTGTCGACCGGTTCGCTGCCATTCCTCAACCTGTCGAGACTATTTCGAGCCGTTGCGAGCAGATGCTTCTCAAAATTCTAGCCCCATTCGATGATTTTTCTCCTGTTCTCAGATTCTGCTTTCTGTGTGTCAAATTTCTCCAGTCTCTTTGAACCTTTCCAATCCCTGTTCGGCTGGTTTGCCCCTTTCTCAAATTCTCCAGATTGCCAAATTCTATGAAATTGTCTCGCGGTGCTTCTGTTTCTCCTGTTTGTACGGCTAGCTTGCTCCGTTGTTTGCAGCTGTCCTCTGTGTCAGATTTCCTGATTTCTTTCGAATGGATTGCTCCTCTTTCTCGACTTAATCCAGTCCGGTGCAACTGGTTGCAGCGTTTTCTCCCAATCTCCTTGTGGTCGAAGTTTCGAGTCTCTTTCAAGCGGTTTGCTCCTGCGTCGAGTCCTTTTGGACGGGTTCTGTCGTCTTTCTCAAACTTGGATGGGAGCCGAGTCAGAAACGACGAGTCGGAAAACGCGTGAGCCGAGTCGGAAATTATGCCGGGCGGGGTCGAAAAACAGGTCGGGCCGAGTCCGGAAACAGATCGGGTCGAGCGGAAAACTACCCAGTCTGCCGGAAAACGTAGAATCTCACCTCCGTCTCTCTTTTCGTCTCTGTCCCTTCCTTTCTCTTTTGCTCTCGTCTCTCTCCCGTCCGCTCTCTCTCTCTCTCTCTCTTTCTGTGTCTCTCTTTTCTCTGTTTCTCTCTCTGTCTCTTTCTCTCTCTCTCGCGCGCACTCTCTCTTTCTTTGACAAGGGTAAGAGGAGAAGGAGCGTCTTCTCTCTCTCTCTCTCTCTCTCTCTTTCTCCATCTCTATCTCTATCTCTATATCTCTCTCTCTGGTACAATATATGATATGGAACACATAACAGCACGTATCTATGACATGATATGTCCTAGCTAGTACCACACCATTGCGGTTCTTCAAACACCAACACCGCAAACCCTAGAACTCAAACCCAATGACTGCATAAACCCCTCGCCTCTGAATGAACACTTGCCATGCAGCACGTACGGAGGCTTCAAGGGCTTTGGGCAACAAATGAGCAACCTACTGCTGCAGCCTAACTTTAACACCCTGCCTATGTCACACTCTCTCCGAAACCTTTAGGTTTCAGAGCTTAGGGCATAGGCTTCAAAGCTCAGAACTTGGAAGGCAGTCTACAGGGTTGTAGGGTCTCTGGACTTTGGCTTTCCCGCGCATCAACTTATCTATACTTGTGCTCAGACCCTAAACCCCTCAACCCTAAAGCACAACATGCCTAATTTCTGTACTCCTGCACACAACAGCTCCAAACCGAGCGGCTCAAGATGTCAGGACGAAGCTGCCAAAGCTGTGGACATAAGCAGTGATTGCAAGGGATCTCTCTCTCTCTCCCTCTCTTTCTATCTCTCCCCTTCGTCTTTGTCTCCCTCCTCTCTCCCATGTCTCGCCGTCGCCACAGCACAAACCCAGATTCGCAGCAGGTCTTCAATGACGACTTTCATAGGCATGTGGCATTTCACTGTTTTCCGACTCGGCCCGATCTGTTTTCCGACTGTCTCGGCCCGCCCTGTTTTCTTCGACTCGGACGGGTCCCTGTTTTCAGAGTCGTGTTCCGGACTCGACGCCTTTGTTTCAGGCACGGCCCGCACTCTTTCTCAAATCCCCCAGCATCTGTGCAGAGGTTTGCTCATGTTTACCACTTCTCAAGTCCCGTTCAGCTGGTCTGGTCGTCGTTCTCACAATCCTTTTGTCGTGAAATTGTCTGGTCTCTTTCGAGCTTTTTGCTGCTGTTTCTGGCACTCCGAGATCGTTTCGAATGGTGTGATCCGTTTTCTCAAACTCTTCTCTGTCTCAGACTGTACAGTGCCTTTCGAGCGGTGCACCTGTTTCCCAAATCTCGAGTTTGGTGGTATGCTCCTCTTTGTCAAACTCTCTTGTCTCGACGGAAAAAACCGCTCCTCTTTCTCAGATTGCCTAATTGTTTACCCCTACTCTCAAGTTTTCCAGTCTCATTCGATGGGGGTGCTCCCCTTGCGTGCCCCCAATTCTCGATCGCGGGTATGCTCCTCTTTCCCCCATACACCTCGTTGTCAAATTCTCGAGTCTCTTTCGCGCGGTTTGCTCCTAGCCAATTTATTCGCCTGGTTTTCTCGAGTAATTGAAATTTTCCAGTCTGCCTTGACGGGTCTGCTCCTCTTTCCCAAGTCCTCGCTATCAAAGTCTCTTGCCTCTTTCGAGCGCTTTGCACATGCTTCTGGAATTTCAGTCCAGCCAACCAGCTTATTTTCGACATTGTTCATTCCGGGGGAAATGGCCTGACTCGAAGGGGTCGAGGCAAAAGCTTCTGGTTCAGGGTTCTGGTTGTTCGGATTTCCCTGGTTCTGCCCTGCATGAGATCTTGGGTTTCTGGGGTCTTCCCCTGCACACTCGAAACAGGTTGAACAGGCCAAAAACTCCAAGCTGCCGGATCTCCGGAGATCGCAAGGATCTCGATTTGCGTTGTGCCTTCATGGAGGACGCGGCTACAACAAAGACCGCTGGACGTCGCTGCTGCTCCTTGCTCTATGCTCTTCAAGCTTTAGATTTTTATGCAGCCGTCACAAGGCCCACCTTGCAGTGTGTTGATGCTGTAACTCGTCTCATTGAGAATCTCCGAACCCATGATGAGCACTTTCCTGAAGGGATGGGAGTACCTGGCGTGTCTCGGTGGCTTGTGGGATACTGCCAATGCGCACGTGTTCTACAAGGATCCAGAGTTCAGGGAGTTTAGGGTTTCGAGTGCTCAGCTCTTGGTTCAGACCATAGCTCAGCCACTCGCTACGACGGAGCCCAAGTCTGAGGCATCAGGATGCCCAGAGCCTATGGGCATCGATCAGGGGACGTAATTAGCTTCCAAGCTCCACTCGGCAAGGCCTGGAATCATGGGGAAAGAACCGGAATGCCATCGGGCTCTGAGCCCGCCGATCTCAACAAGTGTGCGGTACGGTACCCCACATTCCGCCTGAGCGAGTCGAGGAAGGCACTGAACTCAGCGGCCAAAGCCATGACCTTGAGTAGAAATCGTGGCTGCATGGAGTTCACTTAAGGGTGCTACAAGGCTTTAACAGGGGCATTAGAAGGGTTGGCATCCCTTCCGTCTGTGCTTTGAAAGACCCATCACATTCGGCACCGATACTGCGTTTGCTTCATCCGGAGGTTCAGGAACTGGGAAAGCAGCTTTTTCCAAGAGTCATGACTATCAACTTCGGCTGTGGAGTTGTTGGTAGTGCTCTCGGTGCTGGAAGATCAAAACCCTTTTAAAGCTCCTCTTCCGACTGTAGAGAACGTCCGAGGGCTACAAACCGGGGACAGAAGACATACAAAAAAGGCTCACAATCATGACCAAGCCACACCAAGAGTGACTTGTGAGTCATCGATGTTGTCGAATATGTTGCCCGTGGAGCCATGTCGAATGTACTCGGCGGATTCGAAACCTCAGCTAAACCGTGCCGAAAAGCCCACAAGATAGCCCTGGACTAAGCCAAATTCGAGCCTCGAAGGGTCGTCAAAAGTGCCTCAAGCCTGCTTTGGTTGCCATGCTTCTTCGATGTTCACGGCATCGGATGTCGGTATGGAACTCCTTTTCTGGACCGTTAGGCTGCCTTCAGAAACCTCCAATTCACGTGATGTGCCCTTGAAACCGCAGAAACATCCACGGTTGTATTCGAGAGGGCCACCGAACAGCCTTGATCCTGCAGGGCCTCATGGGACGTCGTGCCAGTGAAACCCAAGTCCTACCTATGCCACGTTCCGGTTGGGAGATAAGGTGTGCATGACGCCGCCGGAACCCAGCTGGAATTGCAACACATACACGTTAAGGCTCCTGACGCGTTCCAGCCCGAGCCCTGAGACGAAACTGAGAAAAACGAGGGCCAATAAATCACTGCCGTGCAGCTGGAATTCAGCAACCTTCGCTTCCGGAGGCGGCAGGGTCAGCAGAGAGAACAAACTCTTTTGCTTAGGGATTCAACGAACCAACACAAAAGACCAGTGCAATCTCAAAGAAAGCACGTCTTAGGCCTCAGACCTGACCCTGCGAAGATGTGGTCGCATCTTGCGGATGCTTTAGCTGAAATAGAGGCGATGGTGTATCTCGGCTCTTCCTGAGAGTGAGCACTTGACTTCTAGCCGCAAAATCCAGAAGCCTGGCCACAGAACGAACGCTGAATACCATGCATACGCCCAACGCACCGACCGCCGCGGAGTTTCAGAAAATGTGGCATCCAAGTACTGACTCCAGGACTTGTAAATGCGGTACTATGGTGGCCTTCACAGCTGGAATCGTCTTTGGGGACGATGAGGCCGCACTCCTAGCTACTCTTTCCCGCCTATTGGAGTTCCCACGCCAATTTCAGCCAGCGGGGCATCTGGGCATAATTCCCAATGAGCAGGGAATCGGCCTTGTACGGAGAGTCCTGGATCTGCTTAGTCAGCTTAAGGCTTAGGGCTTAAAGGCTTAGTGGGGCTAGGATTCGGGGTCGAGTCGAGGTGCAACTTTCTTTGTCTTGGCGTTTGTATGATGTAGCAGTAATAGTTGCGCAACATAGATGTGTCGAATGCAATGATCATTTCTCCCTCGCTCTCTCTTCGGCGGTCCGCGAAGCTGCTGGGTCGTGCTGGGTCGGCGTAGCCATTTAGTGGGCAAAGGATTTTTCGGGCTCAGGGTTTGGGAGCTGGGTTGTTATCTAGCAATACTGTAGATTCGGGCCTGGAACAACAGTCCTGCATCTCAAGCCAAACACGAATACTGACTCGCAACGTACGTGCGCGAGCAATGCTAGGCTACGGAGGCTGGAAGCTCCAACCAAAGACCCCGCCCAATAAGCAGAGATCACTGATCTAGGCCTCCTGAAGCTTTGTTGCACTGCTCCCGAAAGAATCCTAAACTCTGAAGGAGAAAGCGAGGCTCAGAAGCACTGACCCCCAAACCCCAGCCAATGAAACCTTGACAAAACAAGAAATCTCAAATGAACTCACAGAAAAAGGAACCAGCAGAGTGGGTCCAGTGCATTGCCAAACTCTTCAAAGCTGAGGTTGGCCATCTTGATGTCGAAGGCAATGCCTCATGGCATCAGGGTGTAGGGATTTGGGAGCTGAAGGCTTGATGATGTGGTCTGGAGCCTAGGCATCATGAAGGAGTTAAAGGATCCAGGGCGAAAAACTCACGAAACTCTTCACAGTCTGCGAAGCTGATGGACAGCAGCAGTTTCAAGGGATTCGGCGGCAAACAAGGCTCAGAGTACCTGGATTAAAACTCAAGTTGGCTAAAGTGTACATTGCACTGGTGCGCCGGCAAGGTGCTGTCAATTTCGAAGGAAGCGTCCTCCAGGTGGGCCAACAACCGCAAGGTCCAGGGATGCTCCACGTTGTAGATGGCATTGCCGTTGATGTGAATCAACCTCAGCAGGGCAACACGGAAGCAAAGCAAATCCCTTGAGAACTCACGTACTGGCTCTTCATGAACATCTGATGCTCTGGCGAAGTCGCCCAAACCTCAATGTCCCCTGTCAGGCGACAGCTCCAGCGGTAGATCCTTGAGAAAGCCGTCCCATGTGTCACCTCCGGAATGAAGTGAGCTTTAGAACGAATGAAGCGGTAAACCGTAAACCCCAGAAACCATAAACCCCAAACATCCCCAAACCCCAACCGATGGCCTGATCCTAAGAAATACCCAGGTGCTTTGAGATCCTTCGTCTGGGTTGCAACGTGCCTCTGTAGCGGCTGCCTCGTATGGCCGCCGTGGGATAGTAGAGGGCCTCTGGTCAGCAGCACTGTGAGGTAAAAAAAGCCTCATAAACCTTAAATCTCTGCTAACATCCCCATGGAACCCTTCATGGAAGCCATAGGAATCAAAAACCTTTCTAGGGTTCTTTTGGGCAGTTAGGGAGGGGGCTTCCGGCTTCGATTCAGTAGGATGTGCCCAGCACGCGGTGGCACTGCAGAGTGAGAGATTTGGGGCTGGGTGGATCGGATCAAGGAAGCTTTTGCCTATGGCCCTAAAACCTCTAAGCCCTAAACCCCAACAAGCGCTTTGAAGCGGGGCCCCCACCTCAGCCACGTACTGCAGGAGCCAGCCCTCCCGGACCGGCACCTGCGGTGGCTACAGGGCTTAAGGAAAAGAGTTTCGGCGGGTAGGGCTTTGGGTTTAGGGTTTTAGGGTTTGTTTAGGGTTTAGGGTCGGCTCTTCAGTCGTGTTGCGATCTCGGACGGTGACCAGAAGCTTCACACAGCAAGGTGGAAAGAGACACCCCGAGAGACGTAAATGAGAAAGACCTATGAAGGTCTGAGTCTACACGCCCCTTTAAGCCCTGTGTGCTTCAATTAAAGCGCACAGGGATTTTTTCGGGTGGTTTTCGTGACTTCGAGCAGGAAGCGAGGCCACCGCCCCGAACAGTGTAACTCCAAAGTGCTCTGTTCAGAGGTTAACGGATTCAGGCTTCGGAGCAAAAGGGTTTAGGCATTGGGAGGTTCAAGGGCACGGAAACTTTTGGGTTCCGGGTTGGCAAGGCTCAGGCCCAGGGTGATGCGAGCTTCCCACTAAGCATCATTGACCCAGAAGTTGCTGGGGTCTTTTAGGTGTAAGGGCTTCATTGGCTTCATTGGTTTGGGGGTGTGGGTTCAGAGATAAGGCATCCTGGACAGAATGGTCCACGATTGAATCCCGGGGACGGAGTCAAGCTCCATGTAGAAGAAGTGGCTGTACTCGCCGACAGTTTTGTCCTGACGTGATTAAGACGGCGCTTCTTGACGTCTCGTCTTGGCCTCTTGAGACTAGAGCGCACTTTCGTTGTCACGAAGCATGCGCTTTCAATTCGAGTCTCAACAACGAGCAGCCCCTAAACTCTAACCGATGAAACAGAAGACTGTGCGCATGTATCGAAGGCGAAGGCAATCCCAACTCAGCCCCACGTCTGCAACGTGAAGTTGCTAAATCCGGGTCGGGCAGTTGTGTGGACGACTGGCTCATGCCAGCCCCACGTTGACCCGAGAATTCCCATCGCAAAGTCAACACAACAAGTGCCGGGGGGCAACAGCAGCTCGAAGAACGGATTTGAAGACCTCCACGTTTGCAGACAGGACATCCCAGGACCAACGAACCCCAAGCCAAAGATCACGGTGCGCGTATGTCCACCGAAGACAAAGCTGGGGAATCGAAGTGATACCGACACGGGCCAGTATAAACAACAAAAACGTAGGATTTTCGTTCATAAGGATCACCAAATGCAAGCACACCTGATCTTCCCACATGCTTGCTGCCCACCTCCAACACTGTCATCCCCAGCACCTTACTCCCAGCCAACCCTAAACCCAAAAAGCTGTTCGAAGCAAACATCCCTAAACCCCTAAGCCCTCTAAAGCCGCTGAAGCCTCTGACCCCTAACCCTACACCCTAAACCCTAAACCCTAAACCCAAGCAAACCATTCCGGAATGCTCCAGCTCTGGAGCAGATTTCCGGCCTTGTTCGGGCCGGTGACCCAAGCCTTCCGGATGCTGTAGCCACGGGAGTCCTCGGTTTAGGGCTGTTTAGGGTTTATCTTGGGTTGCAGCTGTAGGATTTGAGGTTCGGGCTGTAGGGTTCGTGGTAAGGCCACACAGCGCGGGCTGATCTGATGGGCAAGAACCGCATGTACCTGGTTTGGCGCTGAGTCTTGTCACTTGAGCCCCGAGCTCCAGGAGACAGGTCCTGTGCTATGCCCACGAGCCCATGCAAAAGAAGCCATGTCGATGTGTCCATGAAAGCAAAGCTGCATAGACATCTTCTATCGCGGTGAGGTTGGCCTGGCGCACTCAGGTTCAGAGCTTAGACTATCGGGCAAGGCCGACGTACCCCGAAAGCCTCCTGGACGGTGAGGCTTCGGAAGCATTGCGCCCAGATGAAAGTTCCGTTCCTCACATGGCATTAGTCCACTTGCCAGACTTATCCCCTGTGCTTGGACCCGAAGCGGTCTTGAGGTGCATGCATGCTTGCTTCGCTCGGCACGAAAGGCGATGATACGTGCCAAGGCCTGGGCTACGGCTACAGCTCCAGCTTCAGGTGCACACTGATGCATCAAGATTCTTGAAAGAACTCGCTTACTTCTCCCCTGAACAGAATCTGCCAGTTGCTCGCTGTTAATGTCCGAGAGCTTCGCCACTTGAGAAGACAGACGTGTTTCTAAACGTGAACAGACTAGACTTTAGATTAAGACCTCTCTGGTAACCGGAAGCTCCGAGACATGGCGCCGAGCCAAGGCCAAGTCTCTCAAACTGCGTCTTGATAGCATCAGCTGCAGTCCGGGCCTGTGGAGAAGCCTGACTCACCAGCAAGGCGCAAGCTTTCTACCCCCGATCGTCTGTGCCCTGTGGCTTCACTGCAACGACGCTCTGCCTCAAAGGTCTTGCTGAAAACGAGAATGACATCCACCGAGACTTCCGGCGCTTCCGTGCAAGGCAGGACCTGTCAGAAAACTGGCTCAGCGCCCAAGCTCACCGGGGTTTAGTATTGACCTTATGCTTCAGGAATTTGAGGGATGCTTGGACTGCTTAGGGGTTCGGGCTTTGGGGTTTCGTGTCCTTGTGGTGGGAGCACTGCCCAGCCCGTCGAGATGCCGTGCCTCCGACCATAGGTCGAAAACGCTCTGCAAGGACTGAACCTCCCAATGTCCGCCAGGGGGCAGGTTTTTTTTGTTTGAAGGCTTCGGGGGATTAGGATTTAGGAATTTAGGAGGTTAGAGATCAAGGTTTTAAGTTTGCAATTCTGGGAGCTCAGGATTTTGCGCAGAGAAGCTCCAAGCAGGAAAAAGGGATCGCGCTGTTTGGGAGGGCCTGCTTGTAGACCAAAGTCTCGAAGCTCAAGGGGCCTCTAAGGATCAAAAACCCGAAGCAACCTAGAGCCCTAAACTCTGAATAGCATTTTCAGGATCACCCGGAACCCTAGACCCAGAACCCCTAAACCCTGAAGGCCCCAAACCCTAAACCCCCAAACCCTGAAGGCCCTAAACCCGAAACCCCAAACCCTGAAGGCCCTAAACCCTAACCCCAAACCCTGAAGGCAAACCCCCAATCCTGAAGGCCCTAAACCCGAAACCCAAAACCCTGAAAGCCCTAAACCCTAACCCCAAACTCTGAAGGCAAACCCCCAACCCTGAAGGCCCCTAAACCCGAAACCCCAAACCCTGAAGGCCCCTAAACCCGAAACCCCAAACCCTGAAGACCATAAAGGCCCTGAGCCCGGCCAACACGGGCCTCGGCATTTGACGCGTAAGGGCGCACAATAGCAAGATCGGCGACAGCTTGATGGAAAATCGACCATAAACACCAAGGCCTTCATGAGGTTTTACAGGGTGCGATAGGGCTTTGAGGGACTATATCAGGGTTTAGGGTTTGGGGCTTCCCGAAGAGAGCCGTTCAGGGCCAACCGGCCAGTCTCAGCTATTTCAGCGCATCCAGCCTGAGCCACTTTGTGGTCATCCGCGTGCCTCACATCAGAAGGATGCTTTGCCTCGGAGTACGAAGAAGTGATGCTCCGGCTTTCCTCGATGCACTTCCAGGAAGCGACGTCTTGGATATAGTTCGGGCTATCAGCTTCACGACTGAGAGATCGAGTGCTTTCTCCGGGATTAAGAATCGAAGCAAACTGTCAGGCATGAGACCCTTTCTGTCCAGGCCTGCTCGGCAAAAATGAAATAGTCTCAACCTTCCTAAGAACTTGCTCACCCACTCTGCTTCCCTGAAAGCTCTACTCCCGCGAAAGACCGCAACCGCTGAAGCCTTCTGTCGGCATTGAACCCATTCACGATTCCGGAGAAGGCGCCTTCAACAAAAGCCGCAGGCGCCGGGAAGTACTCGGGCCGCTACACACTGCTCCGAAGCTGTGAGCCCCAACGCTGAACATGCCAGAAAAGACTGTAGCTTGCGCACTTTCTGGCTCCTTGCTTGCGGTATGGTGGGTCCGCAATTCAAACAACAACAAGCGTTTGCAGATGGAATCCATTGTTCAGCAACCATGAAGGACTGTGTTTGTTGCTCGCTATTCAAGTTAGGCGCATCACAGAAGACCAGGATGTTCGCTACAGATGGTTTGGGGTTTACCGTTTCGAAGTTGAGGTTCAGCGCCTGGGAAATCTGGCCGAACAGGCGGCGTCTTCTCGCGGTGTCACAAACAAGATGCTGCGGTCTCGACCGGAACTGCGTGAACTTCGCACGCATCCGTCGACCTACAAGGATCCACGGATCCAGCTTCTGACTGCCATCGTGTGGCTAGTAGAAGGTAATAAACAATAAATGTCCTCCGCACTGGTGGCGCGGAAGACGTGGAAGGGACGTGCCAAGTCTCGGTCTTGCACCCGGCGAGGCGATTTTCACATGGAGCTCCCTTCCAAAAACTTTACAGATTGTCGCACAGCCTTCAGCGCCCCAAATACTACGAGGAGACTCCGTGCTGGGGCTTCGGGATTGGGGCAACCAAACCCATAAGACTATGTTCCGCGGTCCATACAAAGTCGGTGCCCAGAAGTCACAAAGAGTGAAGCCTCAACCGCCTCAAACCAGACAGAGCTGCCTAGCATCCGGACCTTGTTCTTCAGTATCCGAAGTGTGGGTCCCCCCCAAGAAAGCTTTTGAACCCCGACCGAGAGCCGAGAGAAATCGGCACGGCCTCTTGGCTTACAGATAAGGCCTTGGACGGTTTCAGGACGAACCTCGCTCCAGATTACCACCAGCATTCAGCCGTCCGGGCTTGAAAAGAAGCTGTCAAAACAGCTGGAAAATGACCTTCATGACGAAAGCGCGCTCCGCTGCTTGGCAGGGGAGTGCGATAGAATAGCTGGTTTGGTAGACAAGCTTTATGACGGGGACTCTGGCGGATCAGCACGGAGCTTTGAGTTCCTAGACTTGACAGATCCTGAAGCCCGAAACCACAGCATTGAGCAAGTTTTGAGTTCAAGGGCAACAAGATCAGACCCTAAACCCTAAACCTCTCTCTTCTGAGCAGACGTAAAGCTCCTGGTGCTGGTCGTACTCCAGCCCGGTGCGAGCCAAATTTACAGTCTACCTATATGCACATTGCAGGGCATCAGCCGCGCCCAGATGTCCTAACACACAGCACCCTACCGAAGGCCCCATCCTTCAACTCTGAACCCGCAAAAAAACCCTAGAAACTCTGTTTCAAAAAAGAGACACTTGAGGGCGGCTTCAGTGCCCTGCACTCTTTGCAAATCTCACTGGGCCGAGCTCGCCCGACAAGAACTCCTCCAGGGCCGCCAAGACCACGGGGCTTAATCCGGCTATTTGGGCTTACAGCCCATGAGATTTGGATCTGCACGAGTCTGGGGTCTAGGGTTGAGGGTTTAGGGTTCAGAGTTGAGGGCTTTGGGGCTTATCTTCTTGCTGCTGCCGGAATGACACGACCCTTGCTGCAAGTTTCTGGTTATTCGACGAACTCATCCAACGAGTCGTTGGAACCCGTGGCTCAGCTAAGGTGTCGGCTTTTCCCCTTCGCGTTCCGTTTCAGGCCCAAGCCCTTACAGCTCATCTACCCTTGAAAAAAGCATACGTCGCCCTCCCCGCGTGACTGGCCTTCACGGCCAGACTCTTGGTGCTCTCCGCGAACGAGATCCGGAATTCGTCTTCTGCAGCAACGACCCCACTGTACATGGCCCTATGTCGAGATGACCTCCAAAGCCCTGGTGCGCGTTTGTTGTTTGCAGTTTCTGTTTGCTTAATTAGGCATTAGTTTGTTACGGAGTTGTGCAATCTGAAATGCATCTGAACTTGCCGCTGGTCAACAATCACCCTCTTCGCTCTCTCCTTTTCGACATCAGCCATCCACACATCTACCTTTCCACATTCTCCTTGTTATTCAAAGACGAGAAAGCACCACTGGAGTATCGGCGACGATGGAGGCATTCGGGCATTGAAAGCAGTCGAGGTTTTACTGTAGAGGCGTGGGGTTGTGGGCGTTGGATGCAGACAGGGTCGGGTGTGGGAAAGATGGATTTGGTGATGGTGACGAAGGAGGGACCTTGGAGGGGCAAGTCGCAAGTTACCGGAGTCGGGGTTGTTGGCTTTTGGGTGTTTGGTTTAGGGTTTAGGGTTTAGGGTTTGGGGTTTAGGGTTTAGGGAGTCTTAGCCTTCAGCATGCAACTCAAAACGGCGCTGCCACATGCTGCAAAGGTATGCGGGCACGAATTGGGCCATTCTTTCGGGACAGATTACCATCACCTACGAAGGGGGCAGTTCATCCCTCACTTTCACTTCTTTTCATCTTGTCCACCGCGCGTCACTCCTGTTCTGGTGCCACCGCAGGCAGTACCTGCACTAAACCGCCCAGAAGCTTCCTTGATATTTCCTGCCTCTGGACGACCAATCCTTGATGTTTGGCACTGGACGAGCAGCTTGTCTCTGCCATTGGGCAATTTGGTGCAAGAATGACTCCCAGAATCTTAACCTGCCTCTGGCCCATCTGGAAACACTCCTCAGCACCGTTCATACCTTGAGTAAGAGTCCTAACGTGGTCTTTCACATTGTTCTTGCCACCAGCTGTTACCTCAATCATGAGTAGGGTCTGTGAATTTGGCCAACACCACATATCACAGCTTGAGAGGGAACACGTCTGCTCGTCAGCTTGGTAGAGAACACCGACCTCCTGGCCAAACGAATCGTGGAGTGTTGTAGTCGTCCCCTTAAATAAGCGACCTTTTTGAAGCTGACGAATCATGGTAGTGGCATACATTGCTGTTTGCAGGTGTGGGTGCAGGTCGCAAATGCTGCCTGCTTTGCTCAAGAGGCAGCCCAAAGACCAATAGTACAAACACTGCAGCATGTGCCCTCCCACCGCATCCTGAAACTGAGAACCCTGCTGCCGCAAAGCCCCTGACACTGTCACGCGGCCTTGATTGTAGATTTCTGCCACATGAGGAGATGACAGGTCGCTGGTTTCTTCGGTCGACATCAAATATCGGAAAGGCGGTGACAAACAGCCACTTTCCAAGGTCACCAAAGGAACCTTGCACTTGCGATCATGGTGGTGATCCATCTCCCTATCCGAGTATTCCTGGGCAGGCAATCCAAGAAGAAACCGCGTCATTGACGGATTGCCTCTTCTTGCTGCGGGATTACCTTGGAGTTCATTTATCAATTGCCCCAAATGACTCTTCAACTGCTCAAAGCATTGCGCAACAGTCTCTAGATCCGGCTGCAAAGCCGCAGTCCGCAAAGTTCGCAAACACTCGTTGACTTCAGCCGCTGGACCATTCAGACTTTGCGGGGGCAAGTGCAGAAAGCTACAGCCCCTCACTGACATCTGCAGGTAAACAAGGAGCCGCAAAGCAGCCCAAGTGTTCGCGGCATTCATGCTTAAGTTTTGGAACGTCTTCTTGTTGTTCAACATCTGAAATGTCAGACGGAATTTGTGCTTCAAGACCTCATCTGGATCTGGTGGAGGCTTGTAAAGTGCGAGTTCTGTAGAATTGCTCGATTCACCTGTTGCCGCGGTGACTTCAAGAGGTTCAGTAAATGTTGCCACTACTTTCACTCGAACATCCGCGGCCAGGAACTCCATGGCTTGTTTGCGCATTTTACTGTCCTCGGACATCTTTTTGTGTTCATCGATGTGGAGCAAGACTTGCTTCTCCGGAGGCCTCCCTTGTCCAATGAGAGCGTCCAACAACTGGCTCCGCCTCCGTTCCAGAATGTCCATGCTGGGAGGAATCACCCAACCAAGGGCAGGAAACAAATAGCTGGGCATCCCAATAAACTCCTCGAGGAACTTTCCTACTTTCTGCTTGAACGCAGCGCAACATGCACCCAAAGCCAAGGCAAAACAGAGCATGACACGACGGGCGCTCCAACGCTTCCGGGCGAAGCTAAAGAGTGCCACGAGGCCCACGACCAGAGCAGCACGTCTTGATCTGTGTTTTTCGTTGGCAGCGTCCACATATTGTCCGTGCAAAGTCTTTTGCAAGCACCTCAACATGTAAAATGCTGCAGTGTTGCGGGAGTCCAATCCTAGTAGGCATCTATCAATAGAGTCCAGCTGTGGCATCTGATCGTGGCACCGACGTTGATTCGATCCATCCTCGTTGTTGAAGAATGGCAAGTAAAGCAGCTGCCACATAGATTGAGGCTTCTTCCGGAGTTGCAAGAAAGCGGGCACAATGCAGCTGGTTTTGCCAGAGCCAGACATGTCGCTGATGTACGCCAGCCGACTCCGACCTTCACTATGCTGCGCAAGTAGGTTGGCAAATCTATCCAGGGAGTCCCTGGAGCAATAGTACTCACCTGAGCCGACTTCGCACTAGCGCAGCTCAAACCGTCAAATTCACATGTGCGTGCTACGCTGGAAACTGAGGTTGGGACATTCGTGAAGCTTCACATGAGCTGTATCCAACTTACGACTCGGCAAATGATTCTTGTAGGACTCGGGGCTGCTGAACAAAGGGAACTTCTTGCCAAGGGCTTGCACCGATTCT